TGCTGTTCGCTATCAATTTATCTACTTGTTAAAAGGTTTAAAAGTAGCCAGCATGGATCCTGATCAGACTGCGCGAATGCGCAGGGTGGTCTGGATCCATGCTGGCCGCAAACCCATTACGTTGGTTTTGTCGTGACGCGGCTCATATTTGGAAATGAAGCAACGAGTATGTATACTAGATCTACTATGAGGTTATTATACGTTGTTGAGTACAATACTGAATGTTACCGGACGAGTACATAGCTGTTAAAACTGTATTGGACGACGCCCTAGCCTCTTAGATCTCTACCATGTTTTAGTGACCTTTTATTTCACATTTTTACATTTTTACAGAACTTTGTTACTTCACTTACAAAAAGGATTTAATATGGTCTTTGGGGTTTAAGAATTGAAAATGAGGAAAGAAGGGGTGCGATATGGATTTGATACGAACCCTTTGGACTCTGGAAACAAAAAAGAGGAATTATGGGTTATGATATGTATTTGATATGAACCTTTTGGACTCTTAAAATGAAAAGGAGTGTGATATAGATTTGATCCGGACTCTTTGGACTCTGGAAATGAAAACGATGCTAAATTGATCAGATTTGGACCTATAATGATTTCTATTGAAACATCGTGCGATGCAAATTCTGAAATTGCATTGGTTTATTTTATAAGGTATAAATAAATATTTATATTGATGCCAATGCACAAGTATTTCGTTGTACCGCGAACATTTTGTATTGGAAGAGAGAAAACTGATGAATATGGGACACAAATGTAATGGGAATAGTTGTCTCCCTTTGATGGTGATATTTCACCAAGTTGGTTGTTTTATTTCACCATGTTTCTTCATGTAACACCAGTTTATGAAATAAGCTAAACATTTCTACATAATCGAGCTCTGATAAATAATATACAGTCCAATCACATAAGATTAAAATCGCTATTCCGCCCCAAATCGTATTTTACGGGTCCATTGGTTGTTAGTAATTTCAGCGTGTAATTTTTCAAATTATTTCAATTCTAATTTAATCTTGCTTTGCTCAATAATAACCGCAGCCTCCCTCCTAATACAAACTGATGTCATTTGCTGCCGAAATTTTATCACATTTTTCAGGCTATTACAATGTGGAAGCTGACTGGACTTAATATCAATGGAAGAGGTTAACATGTCACCATTCATCTATTAAAGATCTAAAGAAAAAGACACTGCATTCCGTCATAACGACTGCGCTGACTTTGATATGCCATGTAGTGAGGATTAATTTCATTATTGTGGAACATAAATATTGAACTCTATCTTTTTTAAAGGAATCATGATTCACGTTTTACTAAATAAACAGTATCATATTATTGAATTTACGCTGGGCAAATTCTATCATAAAATTATGTGGCCAATGTTGATATAATTATGAAACATATAATTAATTTCGTATATTTCACCAGTCCTTGACAAAATTACATCAAACCTTAAATAAATTTAAAAAAAACAACTTATTTTGTCTTCTCGTTTTTATCTTGTAATAAATAATGTCATATCTACCATAGCACATGAAGTAGAATCAGCCTCATTGTGGATCTGGCGAATGAAGGAAGAGCCATGGATGGAGGGTCGAAAGACCAATAGTTAGGCAGTACCCGCTTCAAGACAGATGAAGCAGGGATAGCTGAAGCCTACCATCTCCTGGCTAGAGCTTGATATCACTCTAGTCGGCGCACCATAGGAGGGCGTAATGGGAAGCGCCGCCCGCGATGTATGTATAAAATAATTATAATATAAGGACCCGCTTGGATATTGTAACTGTTTTGATAGTGTATCTGTACATAGGAAAATATATTTCAAGTGATTCATTTCTTTTATATTTATAAGGACGATAACCATAAATGAATCATTAAAGCTATAAAGAATTTATAACTTACATATGAGCCGCGTCACGACAAAACCAACATAGTACATTTGCGACCAGCTTGGATCCAGACCAGCCTGCGCATCCGCGCAGACTGATCAGGATCCATGCTTTTCGCTATCAATTTCTCTACTTGTTAAAAGGTTTAAAAGCGAACAGCATGGATCCTGATCAGACTGCGCGGATGCGCAGGCTGGTCTGGATCCATGCTGGTCGCAAACCCATTACGTTGGTTTTGTCGTGACGCGGCTCATATTTGGAAATGAAGCAACGAGTATGTATACTAGATCTACTATGAGGTTATTATACGTTGTTGAGTACAATACTGAATGTTACCGGACGAGTACATAGCTGTTAAAACTGTATTGGACGACGCCCTAGCCTCTTAGATCTCTACCATGTTTTAGTGACCTTTTATTTCACATTTTTACATTTTTACAGAACTTTGTTACTTCACTTACAAAAAGGATTTAATATGGTCTTTGGGGTTTAAGAATTGAAAATGAGGAAAGAAGGGGTGCGATATGGATTTGATACGAACCCTTTGGACTCTGGAAACAAAAAAGAGGAATTATGGGTTATGATATGTATTTGATATGAACCTTTTGGACTCTTAAAATGAAAAGGAGTGTGATATAGATTTGATCCGGACTCTTTGGACTCTGGAAATGAAAACGATGCTAAATTGATCAGATTTGGACCTATAATGATTTCTATTGAAACATCGTGCGATGCAAATTCTGAAATTGCATTGGTTTATTTTATAAGGTATAAATAAATATTTATATTGATGCCAATGCACAAGTATTTCGTTGTACCGCGAACATTTTGTATTGGAAGAGAGAAAACTGATGAATATGGGACACACAAATGTAATGGGAATAGTTGTCTCCCTTTGATGGTGATATTTCACCAAGTTGGTTGTTTTATTTCACCATGTTTCTTCATGTAACACCAGTTTATGAAATAAGCTAAACATTTCTACACAATCGAGCTCTGATAAATAATATACAGTCCAATCACATAAGATTAAAATCGCTATTCCGCCCCAAATCGTATTTTACGGGTCCATTGGTTGTTAGTAATTTCAGCGTGTAATTTTTCAAATTATTTCAATTCTAATTTAATCTTGCTTTGCTCAATAATAACCGCAGCTTCCCTCCTAATACAAACTGATGTCATTTGCTGCCGAAATTTTATCACATTTTTCAGGCTATTACAATGTGGAAGCTGACTGGACTTAATATCAATGGAAGAGGTTAACATGTCACCATTCATCTATTAAAGATCTAAAGAAAAAGACACTGCATTCCGTCATAACGACTGCGCTGACTTTGATATGCCATGTCGTGAGGTTTAATTTCATTATTGTGGAACATAAATATTGAACTCTATCTTTTTTAAAGGAATCATGATTCACGTTTTACTAAATAAACAGTATCATATTATTGAATTTACGCTGGTCAAATTCTATCATAAAATTATGTGGCCAATGTTGATATATGAAACATATAATTAATTTCGTATATTTCACCAGTCCTTGACAAAATTACATCAAACCTTAAATAAATAAAAAAAAAACTTATTTTGTCTTCTCGTTTTTGTCTTGTAATAAATAATGTCATATCTACCATAGCACATGAAGTAGAATCAGCCTCTTTGTGGATCTGGCGAATGAAGGAAGAGCCATGGATGTAGGGTCGAAAGACCAATAGTTAGACAGTACCCGCTTCAAGACAGATGAAGCAGGGATAGCTGAAGCCTACCATCTCCTGGCTAGAGTTTGATATCACTCTAGTCGGCGCATCATAGGAGGGCGTAATGGGAAGCGCCGAAACGCCAAATGAAAATGACACCCACCTCAGGAAGAAGATGGTAGCAGCAGCTGATGCTGTATCTTGCGACATCGTATTTTTTGTAAAACAGGGAAAAAAACAACAACGTCAAACTAGTTTGTTTTTAATTTTTCCTACCCTCTAGCCTGGGTTCCAGTCTGTCGATTTTTGTGTGCTTCTGTTCGGCCCAGAGATGTTGTGTTATCTATGACGATCGAGTATGAAATAGCGCGTATGTTATAGAAAAAAATATCAACGCCTGAATCTTAGGCTACCTACTCTCCATCGATAGATGAAAGCAACACCAGTTAAAATAACGGAATAAAATTTAAGGCTATATTGAGATAACGGTATATATAATTATACCTTAAACTCATATTTTTCTAAAATTACACACAATAATGACGAAACTATTTTTATCCTGCATTTGATATACATCATGTAATTCCTGTCTCAGAGACTGTACAGAATCGTGACAAATCGTGATAATACAGTAGACATAGAAGTTCACATTTCTTTGTTGTCTGCGCAGTCTGTTAAGGATCAATTCTGTCCGCTATCAGTTTCTCTACTTGTAATAGGGTTGGTAAAGATACAGCATGGATCTTGATCAGACTGCGTAGATGCACAGGCTGGTCTGGATCCATTCTGGTCGCAAACGCACTATGTTGGTTTTGTCATTGCGCGGCTCATATATTATTGTGATAAAAACCTTAAACTTATTTGTAAATATTCATAGTTTAAGGCACCTCTCTGAGGTGCAAAAGCCTAAAAACATAAAAAATCAAAATCTTATATAGAACATTTTGGGGCACTTAAAATAGAAAGATTTAAAAAAATGTAAAGAAAATAAATTCAGAAATAAATTGAAAATCATACATTTTTGCTTTGTTTTTTTATCCCGATTTAGGTGTAAATTCTTCATATGCATGTCATATTTTGATCATATTTCACAATCAGAATAACCGTTCTGGAACAAACAAAGTGAGCGAATGATTTGAAATTTTGCACACAAGTTATTTGTCTCGACTTACATCAAATGTTACATTAATCTTGAAAAAATATCTCCATTTTCATCGCGTCAAAAGCTTTCATTTGGTAATGAAAAGCAAAACGTCATATTTTTCAAGGGAGGTAATAATTCAATCGCATGTCATTATATTTTTAAAGGGAGGCAATAAATTAAAATTCCCTTGTCATCAAGGGAGGTAATTCAAAATATATAAAATACATTCATATATTATATATCCTATGAATGAACTAAGGCAAGTCATTTATGATTTTTGTATTTTATTGAGCAAATCCATAACACAGTGTACAGTTGAATAATAAACGTCAAAACAGACATATAATCTGAAAGGGATAGAATTATAGCAGCACATATATCAAGCAAAAGGTAAACATATATTTTTGATATAAAAAACATATTCTCACTTTCAATCAGAAGGAATAAGACTAGAAATGAGACAAAAGACTGATGACCAAAACATTTATGAATCAATGAATAGAAAACAAACACTACGCTCATCATATATACCCTTTTTAAACATATTATATATTAATATTAAAAATAAAAAAATGTATTTATAGTTTATTTGACTTGAAATAATACAGAAAACAATAAATAACACGTAAAAATAATACTGTACTTTTTTGCAAAATCATAATTTAAAATATTCAATAAGAAACGCATTTTACTCTGTTAAAGCAACGCATGCGCATGGCTATGTCCAAACTAAACATATGGTAATTATAGAACTTGTCCTAAAATATCATAGTTATTTTGCATGCGAATATTTTACGAGTTAAAGATTATCATAATAGTTTTAATCCGATCAATTCGACGATCTTTAAGGTAGGTTAGACTCAACCATTACTACAGAATGGATTGCTACAACGAAAGCATGCAAACTTGATGCTTCTGTAATGGAATCAAATGATTTGACAGACTTTCATTCAAACACGTAGACAAGCAAAGATCTTGTACAACAAACAACGGCCGCATGTCAACGTCTTAACAACAATAAAAATAGTAACAACTAAAACAATTGTATGAATAGGTTTAACAATAAAGGTATTAGAATAATACTGGTAAAAGGCAGTTTCTCTCCTAAAACAATAACCATCCACAATAAGTAACCACCCGAAAACAGTTTCTGCACATCTTCATCTTCTTTTTTTTTGCCCGTGGTAGGTTTCACTGTCACTCATTACATATTTAAAGAGTGTCTAGATTTAGATACGGTTTGTTGTGTTTGTTCCCTTAACCATGAAGGAGCTGTCCGCTTATTCCATAGAAGTCGTGCTTCTTTCCGCTTGTTATATTTTGTCGAAGATCAGGATTACTTTCTGGGAATTGATTGTGGAACTTCCTCCTTACAGAAGATTTCTCAAATCTGTTTTGTTGCTCTAACAAGCTCGTTTGCGGTCTAGGTAATCCGTGTCCTGGCTGCCAGCTGAATCTTGGGTCGTGTTTGTAGCCAATATGGTGGTTCGGAAATTGCGCTTTGTAAGCGGAATCATAGGACAGAGAATTATGTAAATTTGATGGTATAAAGTTTGTACCTTTACTGCTAAATTCATTTCTGTATTCGCTGCTAGGGTCACTGGTGACGGGTCGCTTACGTAGCACACTAGAATAAGCAATAAATGGTTTTTCTGTCTTGTCACGATCTTCAAGTTTTGTCTCTATATTTGTGAACTTAATTCGCGGGACGGTCACTGGTCCGTCTTCATCAGCCTCGGCATTGTCTTCTCTATCATTTTCATCTTGATCATATTGAGGATTGTATTGGGCCTGTGTACTTGTATATTGTGTGGTTACCACAGGTTCTGTAGCAGGTTTCGGGTCTGAATCCAACAGCATACGCGGGGAACCGCGTGTTGGTGCACTACTTAATCTTAAAATACCACTGTCCAGACTTTGTGCTACCATTATATTGTCTGCAAATTTAACATTTTTTGATCTTGTTGAGCTCGCCTTCCTAACATTGTGCAAATTCTGATTTGCTGTGGACATGACTGTCAAAGGTTCGTTCCTAGAAAACTTTCCCAGTTCGTGTTCTTGAAGGAATTTCTGTGTATTGAAACTATCCCCCATGGTGCTTTCCTTCAATATAGTATTACCTTCCTGTACTTTTACTCGAGCTGTCTCCACAGTTGGCTGAAGTATGGTTGTCTGACTTCGTTTCAACGTGTTGTGTTGACTCATCAAATCCCTGCCTTCCCGACGGTCTCCGGCCAGGTTCGGTTGACTCGAACTTAACGTACGGCTGTATCGGAACGCATCTTTCATATCACTATTGAGTCGAGTTGGAAGATTCAGAGCATCAATATGTGAATGCATGGTGTTCATGATCTCTGGTCCACTGACTTCTAAGGCATTCATGTTGTATGCAAGCCTTTCTGGATTGTAATTTGTTTTATATAAGCCAGCTCTTTCTTCGTTGTATTTTCCTTCGTGTCCGTAAAATGTTGTTGGTTTTTCCGGGGCACTTGTACGTGCCATTTTATAATTTAGTGAAGATATGTCGTGACCTGGTCCATGAGCCTCTAATACTTTCCAGCGGTTTTGTGCTTCTATTTCTTGGAAGTTTTTATCTTGGTCTCTCTTTGTTGAATCTAAGTATTTTGCTTCTGGCCCGCCTGGAGGTCCTGAAACATTAAAACATACATAACTGTATTGCAACTTTAAATATTTAAGAAAAACATATACTATTCATTTTGACACTTTTCCGAATACTAGTATTAATGATTCATACAAATCATACATTTCTCACTACAATGTACATCTAGATCAATTACAAGTTAGGGTAGATACATGGACTAAAACAAAAGTAGTAGCGAATTTTATCAAAGTTTTACGCAATGTCAAACTAAAAAAATATTTATTGTTATCTCATTTACATATGGATAAAACACCGTGAAGCAAGATGAAATAACAGCACACATCTGAGATAATACTGACCAGCTGGTACATAGGGCACTTTGTCAGGTATTGTCTTTGCCCCTGCTAGCGTCTCTAGATTAGGATCAGCATGAGCATTTTTCTCTAGTTCTCTCCATCTAATGGCGTCTTTCTCCTTTATATCATCTGGGAAACTTGCATAATCTTTCCCATGTAAAAGACGGTCTTCTTCTCGTTCAGACAGTGTCATCATTCTATAAATATATTAGACAAAAAACTATTCAATGAGAAACAAAAAATAACCCTATTGACCTGCCCTTTTATAGCTCAATACTTGAAATAAAGAATTCATGATCATCAGTTTGCTTACTTCAACAATTTATGTATCTAACCAATATTTATCATTATTTATTTCATCTTACAGGGAAGAATGATATTTTGTGTTATCTTTTCTTATCATCCATTTGTAGGAAACTTTACTAATTAGTAAATACCTGATGTAGTTGGGGTTTTCGGGAGCATTAGCTTTGGCAGCTGTCTTCAACTGTTGGGGTTTTGGAATCAGTGTTCTGGCTATCCTGCCTTCAAATGGTCTAGGTGGGTCAAATGTGTTTATTGAACGTGGATACTGAAACGAATAAAACTTTATGATGTGTAATACAAATATATATATTTATTATGCAGTAAGTTATTCCTCATTTCAGATTGTGAACTTCTTTTTACATCATTTGCTTCAATAAATCGAGTACATTTCAATTGTTAGAATTTATGTTTTAACCCCGTTAAAAATAATATACGTTCTTTCTTTAGAGTTCTTGAATACAAGACAATAAGTGAGGATTGCAAACTCCTTTTAGTTTTGCTCAATCATAAGCTTATATTCAGCTTATATCCCCTAGCGCTCTCTGGCACTAGATTTAAAACTCCTTTTGTTAGTACAATTGTCATTATGTTTGTACATTCGGTTTATTTTGTCTCATATTACTTACAATAGTGTCATCTTGGATCCCGTGAGTGTTATAGAAAGTTTGTTTTTCTTGCAGATTATCTAGCTTGTTAGGATTAGCAGGACCTAATCCGGTATGATGCTGATTGTACGTCGTCTCCCATTGATCTCTTTCTAGATTGCGCATAGAGTTTGCCGTGCGCAGTGATACTTTCATGTCACCAGCTCGTGTCTGGAGGTTTGGTGCAACAACTTTAGGTGGTATAGGGTAGAATTCTTGTCTGCCATTGTGAGTCTTTACAAGCTGAACAGATACGTAAATTTGTATTTATTTATAAATATAAATTTCGACGTTGACAGATGAAAATATTTTACAAAAGTCTCGGTCCTAATCAGCGTTTTCAACATCTTGTATTTCAATGTTTTCTTCTTCCCATTGACGTTTATTAATACTTTAGTAAAGATAAGGTTTACAGAAAAAATATAATTTTATATAGATTTACTTGCATTTTTCTGTCGAACAGGTCATTCAATCATCGCAGTATTGACGTATTCAGTATTGTCAAATTATGTCAGTTTGAATTAACTTTATCAACATTTTAATCTTTAATTACTTGATTAAATTCCGTTTCTTCGGACCACTTTTTATGCTTACAACCGTTACGTACCTGGTTAAATCCTGTCTCTCCTAACCACTCTAATGCTCTTTTGTCAGAATTTTTCGGCAGCTCTTGAATCTCCCGTCTGTCACCAAAACCTAGAATTGCATAGATATACTTTAATTGGTGTTAACATATTTTACTTCCACATGTATGTAAAGCCAATATGAGTATTGAATACTTGAAAGATTCATACGAGCCATTATATCATAATTGCATCATTGTAAAAGCAATTCAGAGGTAAAAAATCTGGAAAATGAAGAGATCCCTAAAGAGCAATGAAAATAAACTTTTAAATTGTAGACTCGGTTTGGTACAGTCTGTTCATGAGAGATAATCGAGATAATTGTAAGTGCTACTTTTCCAAGACCAACCCATCAGAACAGGCTCAAGCAGTACTCAATCTTCAACATAAAAAGGTATTGAAATCATTGATTTCGAAGGACAAGAAAAATGATAAATAAAACATTGAAGTTAGGTACGAGACAACCATTTACAGCTACCACGCCACACGTGACACCAGTTTTTTAAAGGTTTGAATCTTTATTAAAAAATGATTAACATTGATTAAATAAATTTTAAGCTACACGCAACCTGATTAATTTGTCAATGTGATAAATAATAATTGTAATTTATATCACTAACGTGAACGTCTTTCAGATATTGTACAACGCCATTAAAAAGGTTTGTACGTAGAAATAGGCGTTTAATCAAATTTTCAAATTTCATGTAAGTATTTCAACGTTAGATTACGTAAACTCTTTCAAATAATTATTAATAACACATTGATTTACCCTTTGTTTTATGTATTATCTTTACATTATATGCATTCGCTGGCATCTCATCACTGATTGGTCTGTCAAACCGAGCTGCCACACCCTTTTTAGGATCCATGTCGCTATCAAATCTTGGAAACAGCGCTGTTCTAGGCATGTGCGAGGCATACGGGTGTTCGGCAGGGAAAGACTTGTTGACCATAACAGGTCTGTTAAAATGAAAACAAACGTGTAAAATTTTATAAAATCTACTCAAGAGTATATCAAAACTTATATTGGCACTTTTGTATTGGCTTTTTTGTTTTTGTTAGTACTTCACAGTAATTGAATAAACGATTATCATGGTTTATTCATGTTTTTATTAGAATTAATTGAAATAATCATAAATACAAGTAAGTAATTGAAAAAAATCGACCCAGATTCATGACAGTTCACCAGTATTCTGTTAAATGAATAACGATTCATGTCTACGTAATATTGATTGGTATCCCAACTAAAAAGTTACCCACAAGTCAATGAAGGTTATACATTATATATCAAGTGGATTTACACTTTGAAGGAATTTAAAAGCCAGACCAATTAACTCTCTTTCACAAGTATTATTGTATGAATGAATATGTCATTTGAGAAGTATAGTTGAAATATTAGTTTTCTTCGTGGGAGGTTTTTGTATCGCAATGGATATATACATGTGCTAAATAAAGAGCAAAAACCTTTCATTGTTTGTTCTCTTAGTGGACTATGAAAAGAAAGAAAAGTTTCCTAATACCTTTTGAAACTTGTGGTGACATTTTGTCTTCTTTCATCAACGTTTTTCATAACTTAGTCAATTAATACTAGGCATGCAGACAAATATTTGAACCTACGGGTCTTTATTTGCACTCAGAGGGTGTTTTATCCTATATAAAGGGTGTTTTATCTTATGTATACTGGGTGTTTCAACAGATACTGGGTGTTTATCTAATAAACTTAGTGTTTTATCTAATATACTGAGTGTTTTATCTAATATAACGGGTGTTTTATCCAACATATATACTGTGTGTTTTATTCAACATAAATTGAGTGTTTCATCCAGCATTTAGTGGGTGTTTTATCCTATATACTGGGTGTTTTATCCAACATTTACTGGGTGTTTTATCTAATATATTGGGTGTTTTATCCAACATATACTTGGTGTTCATATCTTGAACTAAATATATCCCTGCAATTATCAGACAGTCTGGACTCAAAAACATTGCAATAAAATATTTTGTTTGTTAAGGAAAGAACTCAACTATTTTTAGAAGAATTTATAGCTTCTTAATAAATATGGCAACATGATTGAATTCATAAGCTTTACGATTTAAGAGAATATCTTATGTCTATTCAACGTTAAGCTCAACTCATTAATATGCTTTCTACATGAGAAAGTTCAATGTTCAGACAATTTAAATATCTTTTTACATAAAATGTCCGCTGACAGTAGTTATTTTATATGCATATTTTAATAGCATCTTTTCATTGAAGAATCGAAGTCTGAATTCAAAAGGTATCACCAGTGACTGTAGATAAGCTAGCTGTGTGTTCAATGATGGTTTAGATCTATATGTTTTAGAAACAAAAAGGCTAAGAAAGGTTCCACCTACCCCATTGCACACTCGTGTGGCTCTGGTACCCTGTGAAAAAAAAGAAAACATGTTTAATATATTGTGATGTAAGACTTAAACCGTAACCTGGAATGGACCAACTTTCATGTTTGGAACTGCTCTTTATCAAAATGGGTGATATTAAAGTATACATATCTAAAGTATAAAACCTGGTCAGATTGCACAGCATGGTAAAAGTTAGATAAAGTTCTGTTTATAAGACCAAGCAGAATGGTGTTCTCATACGTTAAATGGACTTAAAAATAAGACACCATGTTTTATACTAATATATATCTGAGTACACCGCACAAAATACAGTTGACTTTAACTTGCTTACGGTAATATACATGTATGCATAGCATAGCTGATAAAAGCGAACAATTTAAACAAGAAAAAAGAAGTAAAAAAACATGTGAAAAAAAACAACAAAATAAAAAAAGGGCAAACGTAAGTCATTACATTTTTTTGCTTCATAAGTGCCAAAATACACGACATGGTCCAACACGTACGGGATTACTGACGAATATGAAGCTACGGAATACATGCCGTATAATGCTACTTTCGGTAATGGCCTCGTTAGTGTAGCACACTCAATAAGGGATATGTTCAATTTCTATAACACTAATAGAAAGTGATATAAAGAGCCCATTTGTATTCAGAAAGCAAACAAAGTAATGCCATTTTCAAACTTTCGCTCACATTTAGCGCTATTAATGGACTAAATGTTCCATGATTATGAAAAATGATTGATTTTTAACCTGCAAACAACCTCAAATATTTTATCCAAACAATTTTAATACGGTCACATGCCTGTTATACATATTAACAAGCAGATTATTATTCGACATACAATTGTATATATCACTATAGGTCTATTTCATGCCAAAAATAAATTTAAACACTTCAGAAATGGTTAAGAAAGAGTATAAGTGAGGTGGATTTAAACATTTATCATTTTTGAGAATGGGCTTTTCTATATTTCAACTTTTAATTTACATCAATTTTTCAGGTTTATTGATTAAAACCGTTAATAGAATATCTTTAGATTCACAATACACGTGAAAAATGTCAGTAAAATGGTTACAATACAATCAAGATTTCACACAATTCATACAGAAATAACTGAAGACCATTTATCACTTATATACAATAGACCCGCTACCTATCAACCGTACAGGTAGGTCAATATTTAAGATATTGATTAGTTCTCTCGCTGTATATTTACACATATCACCCTGATATTAATTCGGTTTGTTTAAAATGAGATTTAAACGGTTTTAATGTAAACTAAGACCAGAAGAAAATACAATTTTACATGAGATTAATTTATCAATTTGTACATTTCGGTTGAGATTAATCGTTAAGCCGCCGTTAATACAGCTTTACTTATCTTTAAGCAACTGGATTGGTATTTGTTTGAAACTAAACACTTTTTTGTGTATTCAATTAATTTTTATATCTCCTAAGTGATGGGACCTCTGCAAAGACATACCTCAAAACTGTTGTCCATGTTGTATCTTCAAAGTGAAAAGACTGTAAAAAATGTAATATCAAATTTGGGAATAATTAATTTCTTTAATAAAATTCTCAGTTAGCATTAAATCTAATTGTAAGGGTGTGTAACAAAAACGTTTTTCTCTTGATTTTTAACTATTTTTACATTAACATTTACTTTACAGATTGCCCTTTGCCAAACAAATTTACCTTTGTCTTTTATATCTACCTTTGCTTTACATATTTATCTTTGTCTTACATAATTTACATTTATTTTACATGTTTTACCTTTGTTTTACATATATTGAATTTGTTTTACATATCTTAACTTTGTCTTACGTATTTTACTTTTGCCTTACACACTTTTCTTAGTCATACATATTTTACCTTAGGTTTATCTTACATAGTACACCAATCTCTTACATGTTTACCGTTTACATAGTTTTACACATTTACTTTTTCCATACACATTTTACTTTGTCTTACATTGTTTTCTTTTACTTTACATAATTAACCTCACATATTAATCTTTGTCTTATATATTGGTCTTTTCCTTTTCATATTTTCTTGGATCTTGCATATTTTACCTTTGTCTAACGTATTCACCTTTGCCTCGCATATATTACGTTTTCCTTACATGTTGAACATTTGTTTTATGTTTTTACTTATATCTGTCATAAAAAGAATCAGGAATTCTTTAAAAGACAATCTGTTTTGAAGAAGTAAAACTGTAATCTAAATGCAGTCGTTCAGGTCGTAAATGGTAGTTCAACTTTCTTTTGAAATGAAAATTTAACGACTAATTGTATGTTACAGATAGTCTTATGTAATTGAATTCATTCATTCATTCATTCATTCATTCATTCATTCATTCATTCATTCATTCATTCATTCATTCATTCATTCATTCATTCATTCATCCATTCATTTACTTACTTACTTACTTATTTATTTATTTATTTATTACAAACAAGGTTATAGCTGATAAGAGGATAGTGTTTGGTTAACATGTTCTGCCTAGAATGGGGAAACTTTTTTGTTCAATAAATAATATTAAACTGCTGTAAATATGTATATCATTTGTAACAAAAACCGTGATGTTATGCTATATTTGTCCTATATCGATGTAACATATGTAAAAACATGATATCATGTACTATTTGTACAATATCGTTATATTTGTCCTATATTGATACATAATAAATTATGCAACAATAAAAATGAAACCATCTGGGCTACGATATGCATTTGATATCGATATTTTGGACACTGAAAATGAAAACGAGGCTATATCATTGTGATATGCATTACATATAAATGTTTTTGACTCTGGAAAATTGATAAAATCGGATATTCGAAAATGATTCATATTAGAACATCACTTGGTTCAAACGTTGAAAGTTCATTGACTATATTTTATAAGGTGTGACATGATGGTTCAATATCGATTATCGTGACATTACGTTATATTTGTTCTATATCGATGCATTATCAGCAACTCAGACCGTGACATTATGTTATATTTGTTCTTTATCGATGCATTATCAGAAACTCAGACCGTGACATTACGTTATATTTGTTGTATATCGATGCATTATCAGCAACTCAGACCGTGACATTACGTTATATTTGTTCTAAATCGATGCATTATCAGCAATTCAAACCGTGACATTATATTATATTTGTTGTATATCGATGCATTATCAGAAACTCAGACCGTGACATTACGTTATATTTGTTCTTTATCGATGTATTATCAGCAACTCAGACCGTGACATTATGTTATATTTGTTCTTTATCGATGTATTATCAGCAACTCAGACCGTGACATTACGTTATATTTGTTCTAAATCGATGCATTATCAGCAACTCAGACCGTGACATTATGTTATATTTGTTCTTCATCGATGCATTATCAGCAACTCAGACCGTGACATTACGTTATATTTGTTCTATATCGATGCATTATCAGCAACTCAAACCGTGACATTATGTTATATTTGTCCATTATCATGCTATCATAAGCAGCAAATACTGTGACATTGATTATAATTAAAATATGACATATATCACACTTACAGTTCATCGTTACTTCTAACGTTGCTCAATCTCAGCTGGGTAAGTTTGTAAAACTGGTCAGTTGGTTTCCCACTGAAATTATAAAATACTGTATCGTTATTGAAACAGGTATGCACGGATCTTAAATATAACAGCAGGCCAAAAGGACTTGTTTATACCTTTATATATTAAAGTTTACTTTAACAGTGTTAACAGGATAATTGTTAATTCACTATTAAAGTCAATATCTAATGTTATCAAAGACCATCCTTAGTAGCAAATCAATAGGCGGGGCTTATGAGTTAATACTGACCGACGGAGTGATCACTATATGAAACTATAACAATTCATGCATAGAGCTAGATAATGGAAGTCTACGATACTGGCATTTTTTATATATGTTGTCGTAAGTTTGATTGATGGATATTCATAACTGAGAAATAAAACTGTCTGCATTTAGATAATACTTTAAACCCGTAACAATCGGTGGAAACTTTTAACAAAACGTTTTTGACGAAAGAAATGAAAGAATGAAATGGTTACATATATACATTCGTATATATTGTATTTCATTTTCAAGAGTATTCAGTCCTAATTTTTGTCTGAACAATCAGTGGCTTTTTTATTCATACATTCATATTTGCCCTATAGTTGTTTTGGCAACATTGACCTGAGAGTGATTATTTTTCAGGAGGATGTTCGTTAGTTTCCGTTATTCATTACGATTTACTCATAGATTTTTAATGATAGTAAAGTTCTCGATATTTTCGTTTGTATAATTACGATTCAATGACCAAGTGGTAAGGATGGCATTGCAATCGCGAAATGCAGGTTCGAAACCTCGTTTAAACCATGTATACCGTTATGTCATACTTTAAAATCCGTTACATTTACTTCAGAATCCGATAATTACCGAAAAAAGGTCATTGAATATTTAAATATATCGGGTAAACAATACACTGGTACATTTGTGTACACGATAAACGTATTATCGTAAGGCTAACAACCGTTATTGTATAAATGCAGACAGCATAAACTTCATACATATTTTAGTAGTATATTGATATACATGTATAAATGCATGCATATCCATCCGATCTGATTCTTCTATAGGAGTAAAATCGATTGGAACCCATTCATTCATTAGCATTAACTTGGCTGTATGATAAAATCAAATCAAAGTACTCCCTCAATACCAATCACTGTATACGGTACAATAAATTCCCTATCAATTGTTTTCGATAAACACGTTAAATCGTATTTTATCTTCCAGTTTCAATTGATTGAAGCAACAATTACAGGTTTTAAAAGGTCGATAAGAAGACCTTTAAGTAAAATAAAGATAAATAATTCAAATGATTTACTGCCTTTTTATCGCTGTAAGACATTAGACAAACACGCACTTGAATGTTTAATGTATAGTCAATATAGATATGAAGGTGGTATTATCAGTTATAAGTGATGATGTCAGATATATAGCCCCTACACTAGACAGCTGTGTTTTTATTTGCAAAATTTTAAATCCTATTTTCCGAATGATTTAAAAAGGGTTATGAGAAAAGACAAGTTTTACGACACTTCAAAGACGAGCGTTCAGGTATAAACTAAGCTTAAGTGTAGCATGTAGGGTTACAGACCAACATCGTGTTTCTTCGAGTTAGAATAATTATACTGGTTATCAAGATAAATTCGACGAATATTTCATAAGCTTTCTATACAGTTAGTACTAACCCATCCTACCAACCAGAGGTAATTTCATTATCACTTTGTCCTTTAAAGCTATTTGTTAACATATCAAAACCTATTTAAATCATTGAAATCTACTTATTTCATTATATTGTTTAAAAATCTTTGTTAAAATTAATAATTCTTATTTGTTCATAGCGGAGTCAAACACCGATATATGAAATAACTCGTGTATGAATATCATCATCAATAACAACAACAACAACAACAACGACAAAAAGTGAATTTTATGCAATTTTTTTTCTTACTGAAAGGCACATTATGCATCAGAAATGAATATTTCTTCATCTTTAGAAAGGGCAAACAGGAGCTTTAAAATGTTTAAATAATGATTTTAGAGAATGTTTGATACTTATCACCTGAATAAAGTAGCGTTGAATGTGAAATTACTTATTATAAAAGTAGCAAAATGTAAACAATGTAATATTTTGACTTTTGTACAAAAAACACAATCAAAATAACTGTACTAATTGACAAAATCAACAGAAGCGGTGTCATGTACTTTCCCAATGAGTATTGTTTTAAGAAATACGATTTAAAGCAATTCTGGGGCATAATGGTCCTTTAAAAAAACAAATTTCATCTAAGTTTTTTTATTGTCAAATAAATATCAATTTTATTCAGTTTTACTGTTTCGGTTATGTGTTTACATATCAAAACCCATTCAAAATCATTGCTTTTAATTATTGAAACCCAATGCTCTTTATTCTATTGTTTAATGCCAGATCTTTGTTAAATTGAACAATACATATTGGAAATGTAGGTTTAAATGTTAGATAGTGATCTTTAAAGTCTTTTATTGATAACAATTGATCACAAAAGTGAAAGGATGAATTGTTAAACCTTTAATTTAGTAAACCTTGCTTGTACATAGAAACGTCCAATGTTGATATGGAGAATAATTAACAATTAACATACATTGAAGTCCAAAACATAACTTTTTTGCACAAAGTAATAGCGAATACATTTGGAAACCTTTGATCTTATCCAAAATGACTTCAATTAAAATGCAATGCTTACATAACCAAAAAAGTACAATGCAATCTAAATGTAAATTGATTTTAGATACGAATAAAAAGTGTTTATCTTTTATAAGGGCGTGAGGTGATCGGACATAAAAAAGAGAACTTCTTTACTCGGAGGACTTTATGGCACCATAAAGTGACAAAAATACCCCATGTTCTGATAATAACAAATATTTGTAAACTTTTTTGGCCTTTTTTATTTAAATGGAATGCTTTAAAATAAAATGGTTACAAATGGTTTTAATCTACAACATTTGTACAAACTACCATGATTGATATATATGTATATGGAGCATTTCGACGATATATGTATATATTGTTTGTAAATAGGTGGGTTTTTAAGTATTTGTATACGACTTTAAAGTATGGTTTAATTTTTTCAGTGGCATTATATAGACAGTTGGCCACTCGAAGTTAGAACATATTTATCGGTGTTTGAATTCTAAAGCAAATATAATTTGTTCATTAATTCAAACAATGGCGACTGCCAATACAAATCGATACGTCTGTATTTTAATAAATCAAATATAAAAGGCAAGGTTATTGAATTTCTATACATATACTAGCACAAAACACTCAAAATTATGAAAATTGACGCTTCTTCATGCAAGATATAATCTAGATTTTATCTGATTAATATAATAATGTGTGACAATCTTAACATTTGTAAATAAAGATACTTAAAACGTGTACAAAATACATGTTAAATGATATTTTTATTGTTAAATATACAAATTGTATACAGTTTCTGTTAGATTAACAGACAGATAAGATGTTTTATACTGATAAAATGAAATACTATACATGTACCTGTATTGCCAAGTTGGTGCTTTAGGAACGAATACGTCCACCTCTTCCTTATACCGTCCCGTCCCCCATTCTTTAGGCACTGGGGGTGAATGATCCACCTTAGGGAACAATTGCAGGGACGTCATTTTTAGTCCCTTAATTGAAACAATCACAAATCCATAAACTTTCGTAAGTTAATACAATAGCCACTTTAAGCGTCCGTGGTTGCTAAGGTGTACAGCGAATTGACGGGTTTAACTTTAAACCGGAAAGATATATTGCACAGCGAAGAGAATTATGGGTTTATTGATCCAGTCTACCGTCTACTGGTTAAAGTTTAAATCGCTGATTAACGAGTGGTGTAATATATTATGATATTTTTTTATAGCTTATTAATAAACATATTGGGCAGATTAGCTAAACTTATCGATTGTTTCCTATATGCTATTGGATTATGCTGCGAACAATCAAAATTTAAGAAAATACCAGTAGCATGTTTACAACGATAAAGAACATACTTTTTCTTAACCCCTACTATTCATTGATTTTATCAAATATGCTAAATACATATATTTATCTAAAGTGACAAAGAAAATTTTTACTTTAAATATATTATTCTACCGATAATTTTCATACAAAAATTAAACCTTAGTTTATTGTATACGGGGTATTTTTGGATGTAATTGTTAAAATCGATCAATTGATAAAATTTCAAGTGTTTGAACATTCTGAAGTGTCCCTTTAAATGTGTAGTGGCTAGCATATTGAACCGGCAATCCAGAGACCCGTTGTTCGAAGCCCGGCTGCGGCGTGCCGATTTTTTGCGCAATGTACAAGTTAGAGGTGGCTTATATACACAGTGCATTTTTTATCTTGCCTTTATTTAATACTAGTGGGGCATCCGTAGTCGAATGATTAAGGTCGTTGACTTAAAACCACTGGCCTTTCCCCGCGCCAGCTTCGGATTCTTTCATGTGAGGAAGCAATCCAGCTAGCTCACGGAACTTCGGTGGCTCTAAGAAAATACGTACTAAACAGCCATTTTATGCCGAATTTGTTGCTATAACATACTTAATCATGGAGGAGACACAATGACGTCAAATCTTCGACGCGACGTTTTTTTATTTAAGTTCAACTTAATGCTGATTCATACTAAATTCTGATGTTTACACGGGAATAATTAATAATATTATTATGTATTGAACAAAATTTATAGCGAGATAAGTAAAAACCCGACGTCATGCCAATTATTATATAACGTCATTATGACGTCAAACTTTTACATGTGTTCCTTACTCTATTCCGTACTGCGGAGAATTATGTATACGTTAACTAATTGAGAAATGGCGAACAATGTTAAATACTAAATATAACATATTATTGTGACCGTATTTTGTGACAAATTTTACATGTGGAACATTGTTGTCAGCTATTGACAAGTTTGTGTGGTTCTGTCACAATCTTTTATTGTTTTTCACGTAAATTTTAAGAAAATCCCAAATGTTGAATAAACCTTTGTTGTAGTTTAGCAGTTTAGGTTCGAATACGCATCAACGACCGGTAGGGACATTTCCACTTCATTAATTCGTGAATTCACCGATTTAGAGTTCATGAATTTGCAATTTTAACAAACAAGTATTAAATTTTTGGGTTAACGAATTCACAATTTCTGCTTCACGAATTATCGATTATAAGTTGAAGTATTCAAGATTTCAACTATTAAAGAGTTCACGATGTCAACTTTATGAATTCAAGATTTCAGCTTCACGAATCGACGATTCCAAAATTTTATTATAAATTTAAGAATACCTATTGACATTCAAATCTAATGAAATCCGAAATATGCCAACTTGCAGTAACATACTATACATTTGGTTTCTAATAACATAATCATATATATCGTATATATAGATAATGTACTTTTTACTTTTTAATATATATAAATTTCCTTACTCTAGATTAACTTTTACACAATTTAATGAAGTAAAGTAACTCAGCAAAACCCGGCATTTACTTAATTGTTGATAATATCACAGATATATATTTAGCTCCATGATAATATACGTCATAGAGTAGGATAAATTCGTCCGATGTGTGGCGGAAACGGCCGAAAATTTGCGATATAGAGGAATTAATGTACATACGAATGGGATAAAATACCTATCAAAGAACTATAAAAGCTTGCCCCAAGTGAATAATGAGAGTTTATTATTTGCTTTATTTAGGATTTTATCCGGATGATTGCGTTCACAAAAAATTGTTTTTCGGTATAATCTTCTTTGAACTTTTCTTTACTGCGATAAAGTTTTACCTACTGATTTGCACGACAAAGTTTGGGACAACGAGAATTCGATAAATTGATTTTTCATGAACACGCGTTTAATCACCATTTTGATTTTGTTTGTAAATTAACATAAAGAAAAAGGTACACTTTCATTAGATCAATTGTATATTGTATATTGTACTTTTTATCACCCGACATACAGCTCACAATAAATGCCGTCTTTATTAACGTGTAGTTTTCTAGTTAAGCAATGAAACTACAGTCAAACGATATATAAAAAATAGGTATTTCTTGATTACTGTTATTACGTGAGAGACGCCAATTCACTGCAGTCAGCAATGAAATATACTGAAACAACTTCTAACACGGTTAAATAAAGATAAATATGTGCAACTTTGTATGCAATAATTTGCTTTTTACGACATGCGGATAACATATACGAATACTTAGGATTAGTGATTTTATCTGCAGACTTAATTGTTTGATTAGCAATCATAAACAGTGAATTGATATTGTCAGTGCGGTATTCCTATAGCACAAGCATTACATGTGAAAAGTATATTCATAGTTGTGAAAAAATATCAAATTTATACAAAGTTAAGAATTGACATACATATCTGGATAAATCTATACGTAAAAATGCATATGGCCAAAACAATACATACATTTAAATTAAATTAAACATTACATATATCATTTACATTATTATAATGATACAAATCAATCGTTGAGTATTATTAACAATATAACATGGATGGAGAATGAAAGAAAATATTGTTGCCAACAAGTTAACATTTCAAGTATCTACCCGTTAAATAACCCCATCCTTGAGGTATTATTTACAATACAGAGAAATATGATGGTCAAGCTCTCGATATCTATGTTAATGCAATAAAAATGACATAAGTACCAACACTAACACTAACTATTTGAAATCGTGTGTAATTATCATAATTGATTTTCCATGAAATCATTTAGGAGATAACCATAGCATGAAATTGCACATGCCTGAACATTGGCATTAGCTGAACGCAGAATCACAAACAAATGTTTCAGATTATTGGATGCGCTTTGAATTGTTAAACATGCATCTTAATAGCCATACAGTTTCTTGGGCTTAAACGATTTAACATCAATCATTTTTGCAAGAATGATTAAAACAAAAATAAAACACAATAAAAGTACAATCCTCCAGTGCTTATCATGATTTCACTTCCTTTAGTTAATCAAAGAGTTTGTAAGGATGAAAAGTCATGCTATTTATAATGCTTGTTACAAATAACTTCTAGTATTTGATCATCTTATATTGGCTGTAAATTGCCGCAGCCTTGTATTCGAATAATATAAAAAAACACAACAGTCCAATGAAAATCGTCATAGCAGCTATGTAAAATTTTATATATACTGCACATCAGTATGAAAGATATTATGCATACCGTCCGTTTAGCGCAAGTTGTACATGCATTCCCGTACTTGGGGGATTATTCGCCGCTTTTCATCGAATGACAAAGGTGTGTCACATTAAAGGTTCGGTATGACAACCTCCGTATGACCACACGGATGCTTTTAAATTCAAAATATGATCATTCTCATGTTACAATGTTTATTTCTATTTCTGCTTAAGCCGTTGCTAGGGGCCGGGACGGTAGCTTGCACTTTCCAGTGCCGTCAATGAACAGACTCAATCAAACCAAGCCTGCAATACTGCCGTATTTCGCGTTCTTTGGGGATTCTGTTTTCTCCTATTTTGTAGAGCGTTGTACTGTGACATGGGTTCAAGTTCTTTTTATTGATGTAAATGAATAATGCAGCAAAATGCCTTCGGAATGCGCCTCAGTCGCCGAAACGACGATTTCCCGTGTTCCACATTGTTTGGCAAATGAACATTTAGTAGGCTTTTCGCCTTTCTATAACTATAATTTTGATAGTGGAAATTTTTTTTATATAATTTCATCGGTTGTTTTGTATTTGGTACCTTATTGTAAGCCTTAGAGTGTTGATTTTTTTTCAGGGTTGTAGTAGGGGTCCAGGGGCAGATAGGGGTGGGGTGTCCAAACACTGATACTGCCGCCTGTGTGGAGTATATGTGCAGCCAAAATATAGTTCACGTTTTCCATAGGTCTATGTGATACATCCCTATAGTTGGCTCTCTATTCAGGCCATTCCATGTTAACGCGCTCAGGTTTGTTTGAGTCACTGTGTCCGAAATAAACAAAAAATGTAAAAATAGATCTCAAGTAACTAAATGTAGTATATTGAATTGGTGGTAGATTTAATACTTAACATGCTGCAAACGAAAATCAATTGCAGTTGCCGCCAGAATAGAGCAAGGTCAACCCAGCCAGCTCATTCGTGCAGTCTGACAAGGCTCTATGCCGTTGGTAGTTCAAAACTTCAAAGCTTCATTTTGTAATTCTTATTTAAATCCTTGAACATTGACATGGACTATTACAAATTGAAAGCAGAGCAAAACCATTACACACATTTAGCAGTTTAAGAGTAAAGCAATAATAAATACATTTTTAACCTTTAATCTGATTAGCATATTTTCTGTTCGCTTTACGCCTGTCCATTTCCAAACGAATGATATTTAAACTAAATAAAAACTAAATATGTTTAAATGAAGTGCATTAAACAGCCGAAAACTATGGGATATTTTAAAAGAAAGCAATACGCGTTACCCGGTTTTTGCAAAATTTGTCCACGTCTTAATAAAAAAATTATTACTTCTTTCGACATTTTTATTTCCCATTTCTTTGGTTCAACACTATATGAAGATGTTTTGCTAGTATACCCGGTCTCAGAATCGTACCCTAAAACAAACGCTCACTCGTCAGCGTGTACTGAACCACCTTTCCACGTGGATAGTACCCAAAATGTATGCTGTGATGTGACACCATTCACTAGGAACAAAAAGGTTTTTGATTTATCATTATTATCAGCGTGTACTTTCGTTATTTCAATAGTTTGAATGTCGAAAACGTAATCGGAACTCAGCCGCATAAATGATTCGTAAGAGCTCCCTGTATCGTCAGGATTGTTCTATTGCGTGTATTCATAAGCAACAACTGAATCAACTATCTGAAACATTTTCACCGAACATTATACGCATGATTTCTGGAATATACTTGTTTTCCAGTTTAATCTATCAACTGAAAAAGTGTCTGTGTTATCATCACCTACAAATGGAGTAATCATCATGAAATCTTCGTCGTCCATGAGACCCGTCATTACATCGAAGCTGCGCAAGAAGACCCGCCTCGCCTTTGCTGCATTGAATCGCTATGCAACATTTCCCAAGTAGTTAATGGAACGAATACTTCGTCAACAGAAACAACGAACTCCATATGAAATTTTCTGAAGCCATTCAATAGATTATTTAACGCTTTTATATACATTTCATCGGGAATATTTCTTAGACAAGATGCAAGTCCTAAAGTTTCTACGTCAGTTGGACATCCGACTACATTAGCAATACGTTTAGCATTCTGTAATGAATCTCGCTGATAAACCCATGGACAGGTTATGCTCCCACTCTGTGGAATTATCCTCTTTATTAGTCCTTTATTTCCCGGATACATTGCTTGTAATATCACACTTGCCACACCTGTTGAACCTCCGAATAATGTCACTTTATCAGGGTCCCCACCGAACGCTGCAATATTTTCATGAACCCAACGCATGGCCATATGTCGTAATTCCCAGGTAAATTTGAATCACCAGTGCTCAAAAATGCAAACAACCCTAATCTGTAGTTCATTCTCACCACAATTACATTACCATATGCGCTAGTTACAATTCCTGGGTACTTGACCGATGTCCCTACAGTAAAACCTCCACCATGGATGAGAATCATTACAGGTAACTTATTATTTTCCTCTGAGTTATTCGGTGTGAAAATATTTAACGTGAGGCTCCGGTGATCCAGTTTTTGCTACTGGTTTCCGCTTTCCTAAATAATTTTATATGCAGCTGTAAACAAGAGGGTCTATATCTTGTAGCATCGTACACGCCATCCATTCTTTGTTTCGTTTTAGGCTTCTCAAACAGGAGAGCGCCTACAGGTGACTCGGCATTAGGTACTCCGAGAAATTATCGTACTTTAAGAGGATATTCAAACGGCTTGATTGACCTTGCTTCGCTCATTATACTACCAATTTTTGTTTCAACAGTGACCTCTTTCGTCGTCATCGAACATATTATAAAACTAAACAACAATATTGTAACAATGACTTTCATTTCGTTGTATATTATCCACATAACATTTAAATTGAATCACATGCACTGAAACGTTCAAACTAAGATAAAGCATATTATTGTGTAGATACGATTTTATCTTGTCACACAATAACTTATGTTTATCATGCACCTTATAAGTATATAAATGTTTATACAAATGTAGTAATAATATCATTTTACAAAAGGTACGTTACGATAAGTTGCTTTCGGTAAGGTAAATTTTATTACATAAATCAACTTTTCATTACTGAAATCAACACTCAAATTTCTATTCTATTCTAATCCTGTTATCCCCTAGTGGGGCAAAGGGCATCCACAACAGCTCTCCATCTGGGTCGGTTCATTGCTGCTCTTTTTGCTTCTGCCCAGGTGATATTGCAGCTTTTCAACTCAGCTTCTATTGTTCGTCTCCAGGTGGTTGTTGGTCTCAACACTCAAATTACTGTTACACAATTTATTTGAATTCTTTTTTAATCCTTTGTTAATATCGCATGATTAAATAATTAATATGATTCCACATTTGATGTTTATAGTTAATAATGATTTAGTTTGACATACAAACTAAGACATAAAATAATCAAAACGTTTTTGGATGGTCCCCAAGTAAAAGAGTGCATGCTGACTGTGTTCCGTACTTCCGACATGTTCTTTTCGTACAAACTTCGTACAAACTGTATCCGTTTGCTTCTATTTGCTGTAGTGTATATATATTTCACAAATTACGTATAATCAAAGGTGGGCTAGCATATTGGCATTATTGTCGCATTTTTAACGTTTTTGTATAAGGCATCACAAGACAAGATATGTTTAATGGGTAAACATCTTTTTTGCAATATTACTTTTATACCAGAATTGTTTTACGCATGGAGATATGAATGAATTAATTACATTGTTGCGCGGGCAAAATAAACATAAAAAGATTTAAAAGATAAACATGCATTTATCTTTGTCTGAGTCACATGTAATTAGATCATCTTCCTTAGATACACATTTTCCTTAAAAACATTGTACACTCATAAAATTAAGTAATCAGACAATAACATTCCGTGGTATTTTGAAATAACAGGGTTGAAATAACAGGGTTTCATAAATGCGTTATCTATGTTCTATGTTTATCTAGAGTGAGCAATATGTTCATGTATAATACATGTTCGTATTGATCACTCTTGATAAACATAAAAAAAAATTATTTTATTTTTGAGATAAAAGTGTGATAGATTCTGAAATTACTATATTTCAGGGGTTTAACTTGTAAAGCGCCTATACACGTGACCTCAGATTTCTTTTTAAAGGGTCTACTGTCTTTTTATATCATTTACATTAGAATGATAATTAGTTTAAACTCTTTTCACATAGAAAGTAGTTTGACAATCTATTTATAGAGTAAATTGACAACATAAAGGTGCGTCATCTCGGCACTACAAGATAAGCGTATGAATACAAAACAGTTAAAATACGTTTGTTTGACGATGAGTTATCAGCAGAATTTACGTAAATATGCATGTTACTTTATTTGGTAATAGACAGCTCACAGGGGGCTGTACTAATTTGTATGCTTAATGTCCATTTTTTCTGTCGCCAGATTTAATTACCTTAACAATTTCGGTAGGAATCCCGCCAAATAAATCGTAATGACCGCGTTTCTTTCTGAACTTGTAATCAGAGATGATTTATCTGAAACCTTTTATCAATTTTAACCCTTCTTGTTTCAGTTTTTACCCCTATAAAGTATAAATAAAAATGCATAACTATGGACTGAAAACCGGACTTAAGCTTGAAATATTGAATTTACCTTGCGTCATATTTTACCTTCAGCTCCCCGCGGGATTTCCATTTTTCACAATAGGACATTATATTGGCTGTTCCAGTTGAATACGCACAAGGAGTAATGTAGCCGTTGCGTTGCGTGACAATTTTCGCGTACAACCTGATAGGCAACTTTTGCCGCGCCTGAATGAAAAAAGCACTCACCGGTAGTAAAAAGGGCGTACACGTACTACTGTTTTGCGAGGGCGTGTAAAAGTGAATTGGTAAAGCGTGTCAACAACTGGTCGATACAGGAAATTCGCCTGATTTCGAAACTCCTCGGATATATTTATAACTGTAGTGTGCGTTAATACATCAATATCTGTGTTGACTTTGTAAGATTGTGAAATTTATTTTTCGGACATTTTGAAAAATTTATAAGGGAATAAAAGATCGCTTAAAATATGGCGAAAAATCCTTTAAGTTGTGGGGCTAAGTGCTCGAGGATCACCTTGATTACATTGAACGTAATTTTCCTGGTGAGTACTAAACTGTTAAACTGTTTAACACATAGTGTTTAACTTCCATTTTTTTATTTTTACAGGTATGGCACGTTTTACGTTAAGGTTTGATTTTCAATCTGTAACTTGTTATTTCCAGATTCAGTATTTTAATACTGTATTAGACAATGTTATGTGTAAAAGGAAGCCTGAAACACTGTGAAAGGTTACATATATAGGTTTAATTGATTAATTTTAATGGTTTTCTTGATCAAATCCTGATGAAAATTTAATTCAGGGTTGGCTTAGTTAAATTGGATGTATGTTAATGAATTCTAACTTAAACATGGCCGTGAATACTGTTGATATCATTTACATAATGCAAAAACTGAATAGATATAATAGAGTGACATGACTGCAACTGACTAACAGACTAAGGACCATAGAAATTCAAAACATTGTACTACACGTGAGATATTGTGTTATTTTGTACGTGGGGAATATCTTCTCTTCTAGCCCAGAACAAATATATCTCAGAATCTAGCATTGGCAGGTCAAACTATTTTGACTTCTTAGATGAATGATAAAAATGTTTTTTTAAGAAAGTTTTTATTTTAAAAATCCATTCAAAGTTTGACATACCAAGATCATTGACGAATTGGCTTCTGCTTGGTTAAACATAGATCCTTTACGCTGATTATTCGGTATAAAATACTGACTAACACCAGAAGTGATATCTGTTTCATTTTGTACTATAATCAGGTAATTGTGTAACACATATCGGTAAAAGTATAAAATTTAGTTAAACAGTTAAATGTTAAATAAACCTTTCCCTACTTAAAGAACTGGGTTAAGGCCATGCATGTTTAATGAAGGGGCATCACTGCAGTGTACTATATCTGTATATTCATATTGTATTGTACAAAACATTAATTTTGTAACTTACAGACAAAGATATATAGCTTTATACAGAGAAAAGGTGACATCACATGTTTAAAATTCACAAATTGTATATATACCAAAATCTCTTGCATTAAACCAAAGGAGAAAAACAAGGGCGTCTGGTCAACCCAATTTAGTTTTAGTTCGCCCACTTGTGACATAAAGTAAGTGTCGGTCACTAACATATATTGGTTCTTAATTGATCGAACAAATATTTGGTTTTATCTATAAAATACAAGTCGTGTATATATTATGATGACAAGTAATAAGACCGCACCCTCATTAACAGCAAAAAATAGATGTTTATATAGCAGTGTATCTGATCATTTGTAATGTACTCCCATTAAGTGTCTGTATATTAATTACCTTTGTAATTGATTATTTACATAGATACTGTATCCAGAAAAATACACACACAAAAAAAACCCCTCAGGTTTATGAGTAACATATCAGCCCATAGATAGACAAAAGAAACAAACACAGATTTAAATGAAAATTTTCTTCTATCTATTTTCCATTAATGTCAAACCTCTCCTGGTGACTTAGACCTTGGAAATGTAGGTGTGGAAGAAAACAAAATTGTGAAATCTTGTCCTTTCAATGACACTTTGTCAAGCAAGGCTTCATCGAGCAAGACGTATTCAAATAGTTTAAGGTTCATATGCATATTGTAATTTGAGATAATTTAAAAACTTGTATAATATATATAATTTAAGAATGACGATAACTGCCGTATACATGTAAATACAGATGTTTGTACATGTAATTATAATGGAAGTAATAAGAAACGTGTTAAACGAAAAACCTATAATTTTATCTGCATTTCAATGAAGGAAACTATATAGCTAAAGTAACCGATCTAAGCCTGGTCGGTTGTCGTTTGAATACTAATGAATATCTTTAACCATTTCATGTGTTAATTATGATGGTATAATATCTGGAATAGCTAATGTTAATACAATATTAACTGAGTGCCATCTTTCCTCACTCGCTGACTCGGCAAAAAATTCCCTATAAGATCATTGTATAGTATCTACAGCGTCGGTTCGTCTTGAGATACAGCAAGAGAAAAAATCAAACTGGTTAAAGAATGAAAGTAAACGGTATATAAATATTTTCAGCAGAAAAAAAGAACGGTTGACAAACATTGAATAAATGTATTTATCAATTACTTGTTTACTTAAATTATTCCAGTTTCTTGGCATTACACTGCTAGTCTTGGGTATTGTGTTCCGCTTTGGAGGTAGTGAGTTAAAAGAAGACATAGAACCAACATTTAAAGACATCCAAATCAGCAACTACGATCTGTACTCACTGCTCAATAGTTTGGCTATCATCTTTATTGTCATCGGGGCTGTTGTAATCTTGTTTTCCTTCCTCGGATTTGTTGGTGCCGTGTGCCTTGTCAAAGGAGCTCTTGTATTTGTAAGTATTTTATTTTGATCTTTTAAAATTTCCGGACAAATGACATGGTGAAATATGCACCAGCCATTTGGGTGATATCTGATTCATATAATTGTTGTGTTAATCCATACCGAATTTTAACTAGTTTTAGCTGTATTTGTATCTCATACGCTTACCACGATAAATTAAATGGACTCGTCCTCCTACATTAAAAAGATGTAGGTAAAATTGTTCTGAATATTTACTACCTAAATAGCGTGCAGCGCATACCATAATCAGACGGCGCCGATGTGCAGGCTGGTGGCCCGCCTTGGTCCGCGCTTGTCGCTTGGGTCCATTAAATAAGATATCACAACCTTGAAAGTATTTTAAAGTATGCATATCAACTTTTGATCTAAATAACAAGTTTAATATTGTATACATATATTGATTAATAATTTTTTTTTTATTTTTCAGTACTCGATTCTGATTGGTCTATGTTTAGCTCTGGAACTAGCCGGTGTTATTCTGTTTTTCGTTTTACGTGGCGAGGTAAGTAATGGTCCTTTCTTAATGTTTGACCTATTATAATAATGTCTAAATTATTCTATGTATATTTATTTAGTCAATATGCCACATTGTTAGCAAGTACAAAAATTATTGGCTATTTGTTTTGGAATTAGAAAGATTGATTTTATATTGATGTATATTGAATAGAAATACAAATGCATTGTTTGAATAACTGGTTCGTGAAATTTTATAAGTATATTGAAACGAAAGCTACATTTTCTTTATTTCATGATGTATCAAACACAGCTAGTGCATATAAGATAGCATACACGCGCGGATGTTTCGAATATTTATATTATCAGAATAAGAATTAACAATCTATATGCAACTAGGGCCTATAATTTTACTATATTGTTATTGTAACGTTTCGTAGCGTTTAGTTAAACCATATACAAAATGTATTAGATATAGATATCTTCACTGTTTACATCTGAGTATCAAAGTGCCCTAGGATACATGTACAAAACGTGACGCATTGTTTACATCTTAGCTGTCATCAAGATAAAAAGCCAGGCGGCAATTATGATTGTCACGGTAAATTAATCACAATCTATTTATAGCCTTAGAGTAAAAATAATTGCCGATTGTATTACAAAATATTTTTTTTTTTTTTAATTTCAGCAACATAGTTGCTCATTTATTTTCCCCGTCCATGTGGAAAGTGGGGTCGGGGAACCATCCACCACTTCCACTTACAATATGATACATCTATCCCAATATATGAACATACAAAGTTATATTATATGATAATAGTGTTTTCAACATAACAACAGAACTAAAAAGAAAACATACATATTCATATAATATATAATGTTGAAATGAGAGAGAAAAAAAATGTTCCATGGGGGCAGATTTATATAGTGTTTAAAGCTGGGGGGTTTTTATGTTAAAAAAAATATGTTTCACAAATCTTAAAAAAAACATTTTCTAGCCAAAGCTAACTGCCATGTTTTGTATGTTATATTATTTTGATTGTACATAATTCACATATTTAGTGTATATATTCAATGCTAAATGTATAACAAGTTCACAGACAAAAAACTGCAGCTTAATATAATAAAGCAATATTAATTGTAGTGAGCACTGGTACCTGTAACAAAACTATCTCTAATGCTCTATATTTGCTATATACTACAGTCTTATCGCAGTATATTGCCCATATAGAGCATGGAAGACAGTCTGTCTCAAGTACATGTGGTAGTGAGAAAGTAAACAATCTTTCTAGTATGCTTAGGAGTTGTCTCCCTTAAACCACTTATATTTATGTTTCAGATGAAATATAATGGTAATGCCTAATTGCTAGAAAAAACAACAACTTTTAAATGTTAATATGAACAAGTTCTTTCATCATGTAAGTTCTTAAAAAAAATTTTTTTTCACTGCTTTAAATACTTCAGGTCTAACCTAGACAGGTGAATTGTACACTTTTCATAGTCAAAGACTAAACTTATAACACTTATTACAAAATGTGTCTATACAAATTTATGTACATAAATAATACACAAATTATCAGAATATAAATACAAATGTAGACAGAAAGCTTTATGTATGAATTGATTCATAAAAAAAAATTGATATATAAAAGGTTTCTGGTGTAAACTACTAGAGTTTCCTTCTTAAAGAAAAAATGATAAATAAAAACGATTGAAAATGAGAATCAAAAAGGATGTGAATAAGGCGGTGGAAGACCACATCATAATGGTAGTGGGTGAGAGATCAGAAAACTGTTGTTTTTTTCTTTTTTTTTGCTTTGCATATAGTTATGTTAAATAGAAATTTCATAAAAAACCTTTCAAGTATAGTACATGGATATAATATTCTCTATTGGGATTCAACTGGAAGAACCAGACTTTTAAATTGTTGCCATGACTTTTCAAAGTTTTCATACCTGACCGTTTGTTTTGCAACACATTTTTCAATGTTATAATTGGCTATTATTTGTGACTTAAAAATTTCCAGTCCAGGCCTTATTTTTTTCATTTTACTATAATATATAAATTGCTTTGCCCATAATATTATCTTATTTATAACAATATCTAATTTTGTATTACCAAATAATATATCTATAGTAGTCCAATCATTAAAATTCAGATTACATTTATTCATTATATAAGACTGAAGTTGCCGCCAAAATTGTTTAATTATTTCACAGTCATTGAACAAATGGATCAAAGTTTCTGGCTGACTTTGGCAAAAAGTACAAGCATCTTCATTAGTAAGATTCATTTTTTTCAGCAAGTGATTTGTTCCTAGTATTCTATGGTTAATCCTAAATTGGAACCAAGTTATTTTGGGGTCTTTAGTAAATTTATAACTCATATCATATATTGAATTCCTTTCAAAAAATCCTGGTTCTGTGATATCTCTTAATTCATCTTGCCATTTTTGTAAAGAACTAGGAAAATGACCTGCATCTTGCATTGCTTTATAGATTGATTTACACCCTTTTTTATCCTTAATTATTAGTGCTAGAGTTTGCGGAATATGTGTATAGAAGCTAAGTTTTTTTAGTAAATGTTGCATATTATTTACTTCAAGGAATTCATTTACAGCTGTTAACATACCTCTATATTCCAAAAAGTTGCTCCTTATATTATAAGTTTCCAAAAATTCAGTATATGTGTAAAAATTTCCATTTTGATTTAAAAGATCACCTAAAAACAGAACCCCTTTAGAGATCCATCTATTAATACAAACACTTGAATTTCCAACTTTAATTCCTGGGTTAAGCCATAAATGAACTGAAAAACATTGTTTACTATTTTCTGGTTTTACATTTAGAGATAAAACATAATAGCTATAAAGAACATCTTTCCAGAATGGATTAATATCTAAATGTAGTTTTGTTTTTATATAATCTGACCCATATTTGGAGATATGGTTTACATATGGACATATACTATCTACTAAAAAACTAAATTTGTTATTTAAATTGGACAGCCTTCGTATCCATGTTACTTTTAGACTATTACTAAATTTTTTTAAATCTATCATTTTCAACCCTCCAAACTTGTAGTCTTGGGTAATAATATTCCTTTTGACTTTATCTACAGAGTTATTCCATATAAATTTGAAGAAAAGGTTCTGTATGGTGGTAATTTTGTCCATGGGTGGATTTGGTAAACTCAAAAATAAATGATTTAACTTTGCAAGAGCAAGGGATTTTACAACAACCAGTTTTCCTATTGGAGAAAGGACTCTTTTAGACCAGTTCGCAAATAATCTCTTGATTTCTTCAATTTTTAAGTCAAAATTTAAATCTATAATTTCAGATAAATCTGTAGTAAATTTAACACCTAGAACTGTAAAGATTTTTTCGTTCCATGACAGATTATACTCTGGACAAAGAATAACATTACTGTTTTTTTCCGATCCAAACCAGATAACTTTTGTTTTGTCTACATTAATATTAAGGCCTGAGATTCTAGCATAAAATTTTAATGTTAACATTGTGTTCTTAAGAGATTTTTTTGTACCATCCAAAAACAAACTGGTGTCATCCGCATATTGGGATATCTTATATTCTTTTCCACAGATTTTTATACCTTTTATCTTTTTATTGTTTCTTATCATGATTGAAAGAATTTCAGCACATAGAATGAAAAGGTAAGGCGACAGAGCATCTCCTTGACGACAGCCTCTCTGTAATAAGAACCATTCAGACATATGTCCATTTACAATCACACATGATTCAATATTGGTATAAAACAATTTAATCCAGGTTTTAATAGAATTGCCAAAATTGAAAAAGTCTAAAACTTGGTACATAAAGTTCCAGGAGACAGTATCAAATGCCGCTGCAAAGTCAATTAAAAGTAATAAACCAGGCATATTATTTTTTTCTGTATAAAAAAGCAGATCATATAACATTCTTATATTTGATGCCATTAGTCTACCTGGTAAGAATCCAGTTTGGTCTTCATTTATAATATTAACTAATACATTTTTAATACGAAAAGCGATTGAGGCAGAGGCTACCTTATAAGCAACATTTAATAAAGAAATAGGTCTCCAATTTTTTAAGTAAAGTTTATCTTTATTACCTTTGGGTATACAGGTTATGACTCCTTGTTTTTGAGTAATTGATAATTCTCCAATTGAGTGAGCATAATTAATTGACCTTACTAAAAATGTGCCAATATCATTCCAGAAAAATTTGAAAAATTCTACTGTAAAACCATCATTTCCAGGACTAGTATTATTAGACATGCGTTTTAAAGAATTTAACATTTCGGTGTATGTCAGAGCTCCCTCAATGGATTGCTTATCAATTTCTGTTAGTTTCGGAACATTAAAATCACTCAGTGTTTCAGTTAAAGATATATTTTCAGTTTCTTTCACTTTATATAAATTTTCATAGTGTTGTTTTGTTTCAGTAAGAATTTCATCTTGTGTTTTTAAAATATCACCTTTTTTTGAGATTAAAGTGTTCATAAACTTTGAAACATAATTTCTATTTTCGAGATTACAAAAGTAACGGGTAGGTTTTTCTCCTTCATGTATCCATTTAGCTTTTGATCGAATGAAAATGCCATCCATTTTTTTTTCTTAAATCAGCAAGCTGTCTTCTTTTACTTTCTAACAGTTCATAGTTTATATTTGTTTCTTTTTCAAATATTTCGATTTCTTTTAAAAGTTTATCTTCTTTATTAATTTCTGTTTTTTTCTTATGTGAAGCATAACTAATTGTTTTCCCTCTAATATTTAATAGCAAGGTCTCAAAAAATAACTGATCATTAACATTAAATCTTATTTCTTGAAGGGGTATATTATCTATATCTGATACATCTAATGAATACTGTAGTTTTGTTTCGGTAATAATATTTTTCACTTCATTTATGTATTTTTCATCTCTTAAGAGGGAATTATTAAATTTCCAGTAAGACCGCCCTTTTTTAAATTTACCAAATTCTAGTGACATTAAAATAAGTGAATGATCTGTACGATACCCAGGTAAAATTAAAGTTTTGTCAATATCGGTATATAAAGTATCTGAAATTAGGAAAAAGTCAAGGCGTGCTTTTTTTATTGGATTTTGTCTAAACCACGTATATTCCCTTTTTTCCAAGTTATTTTCTCTCCAGCAATCCATTAGGTTAAACTCTGACATTAAACTGTGTAGCTTATCACGTGCATTTGGATTGTTTAAGTGTAAGTAGTTAAAACAATCTATATCTGGATTAAGTACCATGTTGAAATCTCCAGCAAGAATATATAAAGTATTATTAAATTGTGACATTTTCTCTGAAACCATCTCATAAAAATTTGGGTTGTCTCTATTTGGTCCATAAATATTTAATAGAGTGATATCTTTATCGCATATTTTACAGTTCAGAATAAGCAAATTACCTTCATTATCCTTCTCGATATTATTTACTTTACAATCAAAATTATTGTTGATAAATATTGCAACACCCCGAGATTGACTATTGAAATTAGAAAAGTAGGTATCATATCCCCATATGGACCGTATATACTTTTCTTCCTTATTTGTGAAATGAGTGTCTTGTAACATACATATTGAGTATTTTTTACTTTTTAAGAAATTAATAACATCTCTACGTTTAGCTCTGTCGCCTAGGCCTTGAACATTCATAGAAATCACTGACACATTATTTGTCATGGCTATCTAAATCATGAAAAAATTGTCTAAAAACATGTGAAAAAGAAAATATAATTGTCTGATATTTTATGAGAACAGGTAAAACTTCTTGATAGATATATAGAGTATTTAAATAAAAACCTTTAAACATGTAGGGTCTCACCCAAAAACTTAATGGGTCATCCACCAAAAACCTTATATTATCCATTATTTTGTAATTTTTATCTGAATCGATCGGCATGTTGAAGAAGAGGGCTTTAAATTAAATTTAAGCTGTAATATATTCTCCATTTCACTAGGGGGCAGTAAATGTGCCTATTCCTATATAAAAGGATTGTGTTTTTACACAAAAAAAGAGTGAAAAAGTTTATAAATATAATGTAGGAAACATATATATACTGTACAAAATATTTGTTTTCGGTAAAAATGGCTACTACAAAAACAACGTAGAAATATAAGGGTTATAATTAATTAATTAATAAAATACACGTAACAAAATAATTGTAATTGTTACACGGTTTACGTCAAATACAGACATGTACTTCAAAATATTTGGATTCCAAAATCCTTTATCTTGTCAAAAAGTAGCCGTAAAAGTCTGAATTTATTCCGTATTGACCTTACAAATCTTTTTACATGAGCATTTTATGTTTACGAACATAATTTCAATAATCTAAATTTGTAGAATATTTCATGTTCTTATAGATGTAGAATAGGTCATATACCCTCATAGATGTAGAATAGTTAACTTCATAAACCCTTATATTTAGGATAGTTTATTTACCCTTAAAAGTTTAAAATTGATACCCTTAAATATGTAGAATAGTTTATACACACTTAAATATGTAGAAAAGTTTATACACACTTAAATAATTTGATGTAGAATATTTCCTACAATACTGCACGTTTGTAACGTCGTTTGTCATTGGAGAATCGTGACGTTTATATAGTTTTATATAACCTGTCAAAAATATTTATAACTAATAAAATACACTTATAAAAGTTCATATTCCCTTAAAATATGTATTCAACTTCATATACCCTTTAATATGTAGACTATTTCATATACACTTAAATACGTGTAATAGTTCATATACCCTTAAAGATGTAGAATAGTTCATATAACCTTTAAGATGTAGAATAGTTCATATAACCTTTTTATGTAGAATAATTCATATACACTTGAATATGTGTAATGGTTCATTTACCCTTAAAGATGTAGAATAGTTCATATAACCTTTTTTTAAATGTAGAATAGTTCATATACTCCTTTAGATGTAGAATAATTTATAATCTTATAGATAGGTCTTTATTATTTAAAGGAGAGGGAAATAGACTGAAACTACGATTTTAGATATACAACTTTAACAAATGACATTGTTTATGTGTTTATTTAGTTGACTAAAGCGGTGCGCCTTGGAATGAAAGAATCTATTGAAAAAGCCAATGCTGGGCAAGAAGATTACCTTAAAGCTACACAATATATGTTTAAAACTGTAAGTTGAACATCTTTCTTACACCATCCCGATCCCTTAACAAAGGCCTATGACATGTATTATCTAAAAAATTTGTTTGACAAACCCTGTAAAAATCCAAATTTTTCAGACTTCAGCAATATTATCATTTTTTTAAAAAAAACAACTTATTCTTCAAAACTAAACATTCTTACATTTTAAACTGATGACGTTTCTATGGCGTCAATGGTCTCCCTCCACCAGTAAAGCTTGAGAACTCCCACATACTAGTATAGCCAATAAATTCTATCAAATTTTAGACAACGCCCTTTAAACACGAAAGTTTTTTCTGCCTATATTATGAATGATTATATTAATGTACCATTAGATCTTCAATTTCACGCTTGAATATTACATGCATATTTAAATACAGTTCAGCGCAATACTGAAGTAATCACACTGGCCATAGCTTTCGCAGAAGCGGTGGGTCTACCGGTGCGGCGATGGAGATTTCGTCGCAGAAGCGGTGGAAAAATATGGCTGTCGGATAGTTTTTTGTTGGTGTCGGTAAGTTTATGACTTATTTGTACGTTATGTTTTTATGTTCTACTGATAACACCTAGTGAGACTGGAGCCCACATATGTACTCTTCCAACTTATTACACGCATGGGGTGCAAATCATGACCAGTTATGCAAACACTTCTACACAGTTTGACGAGGGGACGCCACTTTTGCCTAATTTTGTTTATAACACTACATATGTACTCAAAACGACCCCTAGATACAATGGCATCGCATCGTATGTATGATAATTACACAAAACAACCATATTTTAGAGTTTTTGGAAATTGATATTACCATTTTAATAAAAGAATTGACAAAAATTGATTACAACGCAGACGGCAGTGGATTCGATTGCAACGCAGTGCGGTGGGCCCGATATCATTTATGTCTTTTTTTAACGTTAAAGTCACAGATACTTAGGAGTTGAGCTCCAAACGCCTAAAATACAAATGAAATATATATTTGTGAATCCTAACACATATAGTTGTTATATATATCAATAAAAGTAAATATACGCTTTTTTGAAAACAAAATGACTCTCAGATATGCTGTATATAAATGCGCTTTGAACCAGCCTTTCTATAATCGGAGTCATGCGGGATATAATGCGGGTTCTCACATTCATAGCGCACCGCATTTAAATACGACAGAGCTGAGTGCCACGCTTGAATTTGTTGAAATATTTTGTAAATAAATAAATCGGCGATAGTTTAAATTTTTTCACATAGTGTGTTTGTATATTGAAGATGAAGTTTGATATTGTTGAAAAAGAAAAATATGATGAAAATATATAATAAGTACCAGTAATATATGTTTAATAGATGACTCGTGTCACCTGTTGACAAAAGGATAATTCGAAAATATTGGAAATAGAATCAATTGGAAGGTGATTTGAAGGATGTGCGATTTTTTTCTAACACATTTTTTTATTTTGTGTATATTTTTGACGTATAAATATTTACTTTTTCTTCAAAACAGCTTATATGTAAGTAGTTTTATTGAAATATATGATAAGTATATGGGATGGAATTAATAAATATACAATTATTAGGTTTTAAGGCCTCAATATTCATGTATATTTTCATGAAAAGTTTGGAAATGTATTTATGTTTTACTTTTACCACGGTACATGTTCCTCCTTGTTAATTTGTGTCATCCTCAGTAGAGTTAAAATACAAACATAGAAATTTGATTGATAATGTCTGGCAGAGCCAGACGTCTTTATTGTCTAAGAATAGATTATGATATAATCAAAAGATTAATCAGAAACTTCAAATACGCTTTCATATAGAAAACAATTGTAGCAAACGTTATAATAATAGATGACACTAAGTTGAACAACAAAAAACCACCAAACTGTCCAACCAAAGGAGGAACGACAGACCGTGAAAAGCAACGAAAACGAAAGAGCGACAATTTAAATTCTGACTTCAAGATTACAATTACAATTTACAAACAAAAATATACGATAATTTGAACGCGTGCATGTGCAATTCGCTCATAGGCCAATAAACAACATTTTCGTCTATCTTTTTTTGTCAGGTATATTGTAATATTTTATCTATATTTTTTTATATTACATGCAGCCTATTTATAGCTTTGTACACGTTAAATAAAAATTTGATATAATTTAATGTTAACATGTAAAGTTATATTAAAAAAATGAAATAAATAAAATAAGAAAATAGATAAAGCAATAAACCTTAAGTTAGTGTCACTATCAACAGATGTCATCTCATCTCATCAATGTATTAAAATTTTATCACAAACTGTTCATAAGTAAAAATAAAGTTCAAAATATATTTATGACCAATGTGTTAGTAATACATAGTTAATGATGACTCTTGTGTGTTAAACTACACAAACACTTTGATTTGTTAAATTGAAAGATTAAATTCAATATACGAGTTAAAGCTATATATAGTTAACTAATACTTCAATATGTTGAACTAGTGTCCAAACTGGAATTTAATTTATCAAGACATTTTATAAGTTAAATGAATGCATAGTTTGTAAAGAAAATACAAACTTTAAGTATTTTTTAATTCAATTTATAAGTTAAAATTACCATTTAAGCACTTCATAGTTAACATACACCCCAATATGTTAAACTAGTATCTAAAACAGGGATTGTTTTATAAAAACATATTTATAAGGTACATGATGCAAAAAAAGCGTATATTTACTTTCATTGATATATATAACAACTATATGTGTTAGGATTAACAAATATATATTTCATTTGTATTTTTAGGTGTTTGGAGCTCAACTCCTAAGTGTCGGTGACTTTAACGTTAAAAAAAAGACATAAATGATATCGGGCCCACCGCACTGCGTTGCAATCGAATCCACCGCCGTCTGCGTTGTAATCAATTTTTGTCAATTCTTTTATTAAAATAGTAATATCAATTTCCAAAAGTTCCAAAATATGGTTGTTTTGTGTAATTATCATACATACGATGCGATGCCAGTATATCTAGGGGTAGTTTTGAGTACATATGTAGTGTTATAAACAAAATGAGGCAAAAGTGGCGTCTCCTCGTCAAACTGTACAGAAGTGTTTGCATAACTGGTCATGATTTGCACCCCATGCGTGTAATAAGTTGGAAGAGTACATATGTGGGCTCCAGTCTCACTAGGTGTTATCAGTAGAACATAAAAACATAACGTACAAATAAGTCATAAACTTACCGACACCAGCAAAAAACTATCCGACAGCCATGTTTTTCCACCGCTTCTGCGACGAAATCTCCATCGCCGCACCGGTAGACCCACCGCTTCTGCGAAAGCTATGGCCAGTGTGGTAATGTATTTACCGTACTGCGTAACTTACGATCTTCCTTAAACTGCTGATATATTGTGTAAAATTAAAATTCAACTGAATTAATGCATTTTGCATTTATTAACAAGGCCATATCTGGCATTTAACTGCATTATTTGATAAACCTTCAAGGCTAGTGAAATTAGAATGTAATATATTCATGATATTGATTATTGATCAAAGATTAGGTAATTACTGATTGGTTATCAAGAAAAAACGTTGAGATGGGCCGGAAACCGAGATATGACCGGGCAAATGTGATAAATTAGACAAAACAATAAAAGGCTATATTCAACATGAAGAAACTGAAACGAAAACTGTTGTCATAAAATCTGAAATCTGAATCATAGGTTATCATTCTGTGCAATGGATACATCATTCTTTCCGACTTTTGAAACTTATAGATAATGATAGCCTTAATTTCCAGTTGTTACAAATACATGTAGAAGCTTTCACAATTCATTATTGCTCCCGTGCAAGTCTGATGAAAATCAGCCCAATCAAACCAGAGTCATTGGCCCTGATATTAAGTAAAATAACATTCTATTTGTACCATTTAAATGATATCTTACCCTTTAGTTGATGATAGTATCGTAAGCAAAACAGTTTTAAAGGATGTCGACTGAGGTCCAAATACCTAAAACATAAAGATTTATTTGAAAATCTTACATAGAGAAACTGGGGTACTTCTAACGGAAAAATATGCAAAAAATATGATAAGACATACTCAAAATTAAATTTAAAATTGATTATTTAGGAATTCTTAGCCCAATTGACAAACGAATTTCGAAACAATACTTCCAGTATTGTAATTTCAGAATCTTCAGTTGAGTCCCTTTAACACTAATCTTATAATTACAGTTTGAGTGTTGCCATGTGGATAATGAAAAATTAGACCCCGGTAATTTGGGCGAGGCTGAGGGCACATGTATGACCATGGGAGATAAATATTCAGTAGTAAGTAATTACATTACTATATTCTTTAAAGAACGATATGGCCGAGTGGTTAAGGTCGATGACTTCAAAACACTTGCCATTCATCTCTGTGGGTTCAGCAGGAACTTTTGATCCTTTCATGTGAGGAAGATATTCAGCTAGTTCACGAACGTCGGTGGTTCTACTAGGGTGCCCGTTCGTACCTGAAATAATGCACCTGATAATTGTGTCTCCCTCCATTAGTCAAGCTGGAAAGTCGTCATATGAACTTTACAGTGTTGGTGCGATGTAGCACCCAAAACAAAGCCACACACAAGAAAACTAACGATATAAGTGTTCCGATCAGAATTGGACACCTTTAGAAAACATCATGCAGTTTCACCAGATTAAAGTAAAGAATGACATAGTGCAATAATATCACGGGTAAATGCAGTATCAAGCATAGCGGAGACTGTTGATATAATATATTATCATACCTCCTTTCTGTAAGAGGTTTCTAATAACTGGATTATTGGATACCAGATTAAAAGTTATATTTTTAATGTATATTAGATAATGCGTACCTTCAGTTACTTGGCATATATTTTGGATAGTTAGTATCTTTAGCTAACTGATATATTGAATAATTCGTACCTTTAATTACATGGCATATTGGATAATGCGTAATTTCAATTACTTTGCATATTGGATAAATTCGTACCTTCAATTACTTGGCATATTGGATAATTCGTACCTTCACCTTCATTTACTTGGCATATCGGTATCTTTAGTTACCTAGAATATTGGATGATTCGTAACTTCAAGTACTTGACATATTGATAAAATGCTAACCTTAGTTACTTGGCATATTGGATAATGCGTACCTTTAGTTACTGGGCATATTGGATAATGCGTATCTTCAGTTACTTGGCATATATCTTGGATAATAAATATCTTTAGTTACCTGATATATTAGATACTTCGTACTTTAACTACCTGAGTATTAATCATAATATTATAAATGAGCCGTGTCACGACAAAACCAACATAATGGGTTTGCGAACAGCATGAATCCAGACCAGCCTGCGCATCCACGCAGTCTGATCAGGATCCATGCTGTTCGCTATCAGTTTCTTTACTTGTTATAGGGTTTGTAAGCGAACAGCATGGATCCTGATCAGACTGCGCGGATGCGCAGGCTGGTCTGGATGCATGCTGGTCGCAAACCCATTATGTTGGTTTTGTCGTGACACGGCTCAAATTATCTTTCAGGACTGTTACGATGCATTTACTGATTGGATAAAAGGTTTCCAAGTTGCCTTTGTTGTCGTCGGAATCTGCGGCATGATTGTTCAGGTATATATTTTTATTTCCTTAATATGTAAAAACATACAAAAGTAAATCTCATATGAAATACTTAGATAATTATGCAAAGACAAAGATATTTAATTAAATGAATGCTCGTCTACTTCTAACTAACTGGTAAAATCTAAAGCATTGAAATACAATTGTATTCAAGTTATAAACATAAAAAAGAATAAACAACTTAATTTTGATATTTATTTTATTGCTTTCAGATATTACTTATTATATTTGCCTGTTGGGTGTGTCGATCAGCTTCGGGCAAGGGAGAAATTGTTTAAATATGTTTGAAATATTTATGGACAACGTGTGAATGAATTGTATGAAGAATATCAAGACCCGCAACTTAGCAAAAGTCAACGCATCATTAAAACACATAATGTGCAATATATGTGCTATTTATAGAATTATAGAGTTGTATAACGTGTGTATTTCATCGCCATTGTCTAGAAATTAGAGACAAAAGTTGATAGATTAATTGTAGTCATAGGCCAGTAGTACAAAGCCAGTTCAAAAAATATATAATCAGGTTATGTTAAAAAAAACTATTTATTTAATGAAAACAAAACCTAAAGAATTCAGGTAACTTTTGCATATAAAATAACGATTTCACAAAACATGCAAAAAGCAAATAGTTCAATTTGAAACGAATCGTGCCAAAATTGTGCAAAAAAATCCTAGGGCTGGAAAATTTGGAAATGAAAGATAATTTAACTGAAGCATGCAATAACTGTCCTTGATTGCCATGAGCAAATGACCAAAGAATTAGAAAAAAAATCACACAAACATAGCCAAAAATTAGTAGAAATTAAGAAATATCTTAAGCCGATAGAAAAAAACCCATGACAACAACAAAATAAGCACGCTTTTAGACACATCAGAAAAGTCAGCTAAACCTGTATTTGCATGCCTATTGCTTCAAATTGCAGGTTTGTCTTAAGTAGTATAAACTGCTTTTTATATAGAAATTTAATCTGCCTTGTTGCCATTTGCTTTGTCATGAAAAAGTACTTGACAAATAGCAGGTCGAAAATAACTGGTCAAATGAGAACCATTATAAGGAATTGCAATGGTAATTTAAGCTTTAAACGGTAGAGCATACATTTAACTTGTACATTTGTAGATGTTATTTTCATGTTATGATTAGAAACTGTTATTTTCAATTACATTTATGTATTGTTGATATTTTCGTAGTATTTCTGTAAAATAAAAATGGTAATAAAAAACATTCTTTTTCTGTATGTATCTGCTTTTTTGAAATTTAGCTCATGAAATTAAACATTGCTCTTATTGAAGCGGTGCGATTTTGTGATAGAATTAGCTTTTCCGTCCATAATTTTAGTTTTAAAAAGAAGGAAATCCCATAAATCTAAACCGACTGGTTTATGTGGTAACTTTACTGGTTTATGTGTAAAAGTGGCACATAAAGAACAGAAAAAGCACATAAACTCCAAATGTCGGCATGTCCGTCCGTTACATGTCCGCTTCATAATTTAAACTGCTGAACTTTTTTTTGAATAACTAGTCCCAAGTGATCATAATGAGACGACGTGCAGAGCGCAATAATTGGGTTGAAACCTCCAAGGTCAAAGTTAACGTAAAAGGTCGAGTGATTTTTAACCTACATTAAGTGTCCGCTCTATAACTTTTAAACCGCTGAACTTTTTCAAATAACTTGGCACAAGCGATGACTGTTATGAGACAATATGCAGAGCGCGATAATTGGGTTACTAACCCCAAAATCAAGGTCATACTTAAAGGTCAAATGTTAAAAAGTCTTCATTTCGTGTCCGTTCCATAACTATTAAACCGCTTTGAAATAACTTGGCACACCCGATCACTATTATGAGACGATGTGCAGAGAGAGCAATAATTGGGTTGCTACTTAAAGGTTAAGTGTTAAAAGTTTACATTTCGTGTCCGCTCCATAACTTTTAAAATGCTGATTTTGTTTTGAAATAAATTGATACAAGTGATCACCATTATGAAACGATGTGCAGAGCTCAATAATTTGGTTGCTTCCCCAAAGGTCAGAGTCATTTTTCACGGTTAAGTGACGAAAAGTCTACATTTTTATGTCCGCTCCATAACATATAAACCACTGCATTGTTTTTAAGATAACCATATGACACCAAGTGCAGAGCACAAAATCAAGTTACTACCCTCAAGGTCAAGGTCACACTCAAAGGTCCAATGTTAAAACATTCAATTTTCATATCCGGTCTATACCTTATTGACAATTCAAAGGTTTTGAAATTACTTGGCACAAATGATCCCCACTATGACACAATCTGCAGAGCTTACATCCAGGTTGCTACCAACAAGGTCAGGGTTAAATGTTCTCCATAACTTTTTGACTTTATGGAAGAATGTAAATAACTAGGCACAAAAAATAACTATCATGAGACTATCTGCTTATGATATACAAGGCACAAGGTCATGGTTGGTTAAAGGTCAAGAAGTACCCATTCATGTCCGCTGCGGAAGAGGATTTAGCTGTCCTTCAGACTGAATTGTCACAATTGCATTAAATAGCATCTTGCTCTTCACTACCTGGTAGATATTGATTTAAATTTCCTGTTTGATTAATGATATATAGCTCTTTTTGAACATAATTTGACTTTAATGTCCAAACAGTTGTATTTATTTGGTATGTATGAATGAAAATAAAATGTTTCATTTTCAATTCGATTTCACGAAGTGTATAGAAGTCTGTCCTTCCTCAGATTTCTGATTAAATGTTTGGTGCAGTAAAATATGTTTATTGTTTATTCCTTATATAGACGGGATCATTATCATCAACCACATCATGTGTGACAATGTTAATAACTCTAGCACCAATACTCCCACCCAGAATTATCCCCCTTGAACCTTAATTTGCCTTCAAAAATGTTACTGTTATGCCCAACCCCTCCCCCAATTGGGTAGGCAAATCATTTTTTTTGTAGCGTCCGTCCTTCCGTCCATCCATCTGTCCGTCCCGCTGTCCTTCCGTCTGAACTTATGACCGGTCCATAACTTTGTTATCTATGGACTGATCTTAAAATAATTTTGTTTCAATGTGTAACACATTTGAGCAATGTTTTTTTTTTTAAAACAATTTTTATGAGTTGGTAGAAGACGCTAGGACTTCTAAGATTTATAGTTGATAAAAGTACATTGATGGTTATATCCAGTCATCATTTCTGCTGTCTATGAATGGATTTTAAAATAACTAGGCACATTTCTGTGCCACATAAGAAAAACTTGCCACGCGCAAACGTCATGTCAAGACTTTACAAGGTGAAGGTTATATAATATTTTATGTACTTGAATGTCAAAATAGTACACTGATGATTCTGTCTGGTGATATCTTTGTCATTCATTCATGGATGCTTTTTGAAATATTTCGGCTCACTGAGAATTTATTTTTTTATGTTTCTATATCATTGTTAAACACTTTAAATAGTAACCATGCCTTTGATGCAAGTCAAAGGTCATGGCTCCTCTACTGGGGGACATTTTTCTGTTTCCAACGACTGTTCTTGTTTACAATAATTCTATTATTTAAAACTGTAAGAGTCCCGCATAATATAATTTTATACAAAACAATCGATATTACAGTGTTTGCTTAAAGCTCAAAAAGTCTCCTCCAGAAGCAATGGAAACAGTAAATTTAGCAATTGATGAAACTATTGTGAACAGAAGATTTGTCTTCAGATGGTAGACAAGGACAACCCGCTGGATGATCGTGCAAGCACTGGCCGAGCTGGTTTTAATCAAATTGCTCTCGAAAACAAGCCTCAGTTAGGTACTGTATATTGAATTCCTACAGAAGATTTAAAGATTACACGTGTTAATGCAAGATGGGTACCGAGGCTCATGACAGACGGACACATACAATGGTAGGATACTACGTCATCGCGCACCTGCTGAATGCTCCCACTTGGACCATTTTCGTCGACTCGAAGGTAAAAGACAATTTTATTATAAGAAAACGTAAGAGTTTCAAAAAATCATGTAGCGCACCGAAGAATGGCTATAGTACTTGAGATAATTGTAAAAAAGTGTATAGATTTATTGCCTGGTTTACGCCTGAAAACGGGATAAGTGTTTTTTTATCTGAATGCTCCCACTCGGACTTTTCTCGAGACATATATAAAATAAGGTTGAAAACCTTCTTGAAAATTATTTTTACCGTACCGAAACATAAACCGAGTCATGTTTACCCATTATTCTAGATTAGTTTCAAATATTTCTTTTCAGAAGTCAGTTTTTCTTAATTCTTTATATAAAAAATGGAAAATGCTCCCACTCGGACTCAACTTCAGAGATGCTCCCACTCGGACCGAAATATATACAAATTTTGAAAGCACATTGCTGTGTTACAATATTATTTTTATTTTTCAAAATATCTTTATATTAAAGTTCATATATTCATATAATCAGTTAGAATTCAATGAAACAGCAATTTTAAAACACGATACTAATATTTAGATCACTAAAGTTGTGACATATTTTATCATAACAGTCTCGTAAATATGTCTTCTTAGAGGATCAGTTATCGGCCTAAGAATAAGAAAAAAGGTTGTGTTGAAACATTTCCTCTTTAAATAGAGTCGCTGAAATAAGAAACAAATTGATTATACATTTTATAAATATAATAACTTTTTGTTTTGCAGAAAGACCAGTATGGGAAGAGGTATAAACCACATTGCGACGTAAGGAAGCACATGGCAGGACATCTTGGCACGTCATAGCTGGAGCAAATATTTTAGATACCACCTGTGGATATATCAAAGTGAGGAGGAATACTCTAGAAAACACAAGAATAATAGCTCTTTGAAGTAATAGTCTTTAGTTCAGTTTTTGCGTTAATTTTTGGAAAATGTGTCATAAAAGATCAATTAATCTGAAACTTCACTGGAGGATAGATTTCAATAAAGTAAAATACCGCAAACAAGAATGACAACCTTCCAGTTTTGGAGTTATTGCTCTTTGTATTCACTATGATTAGTTTGCAAGGACCATACCTCTAAGGTATTTGTGATATAAACTTGAAACTTTATATTGAACATGTTTTAATAGATGTGAATAGCAGAGCATAAGGACCAGAAGTGTTCACTTAATGTTTCTTTGTTGTTTTTTTCTTTGTTTTTTTTTCACGGGAGTGTTATTTTTGTCATGATTTATTATGTCTAGGCTATAACTTTTCATTATTTTTCACGAGTGTCATTATTTGGATTTTTACATGTATGTAAGGGTTACTTCTCCTATGAAATGTATTTACTCCTTTTCTGCGGGGGGTGGGGGGTTTACTGTCTGTGATATTCCTTCTTGTATGATTGTTATTATTTTAACGTCATTTAAATATCTTGAAATCAATTTTCTATGGTTTTATATCATAAATATAATGCTCAAATGATGATTTATCAATATTGTATGTTCCAAAAAGCATTATTTGTATAGATAATACCGAATTTACATTTCATAAAGGGAGGTAATTAGAAATATATTTTCTATTAAGTGTAAGTTGAATTCTTCAATAAGAAATGAATGCATACATGTATATTTTAATGATTACATATAATGTGCACAAGCATTTGCAGTACGTATTTTACATATTCCTAAGTGTTTGAAAATTTTTTAGTAGCATAATTATATACATATCATGATATGCATATAAAATTTCAATTGGTAACAACCTGAAATATAACTTACAGGATCTTTAATAACCAAGATATGGCAAAGACTGTGATAAAGAAATAACTGTGATCTTTGTTTTCTTATTTATTTAATTTTGTTATTTTAGGTAAAAATACGTACAAATGATAACTTTTATACTTAAAATTGTCAAAGTTGTCAATAATTGTGATGCGTGTTTTATGTGCCATGGTATGGCAGAACATTGACTTTTTAACCAGTCCATGACAAAAATGATTTACATGTTGTTCTTTAATAAACTATTCAAATCAACCGATAGATATTGACTTCTTCATGTTCATAAACGTACCAGTATATGTCGTTTTAATATCTAAATCACAAGTTTAACAAACACGCAAATCATTGGGTTTTAAATTATTAACAATATATTAAAGTCAGCAATTATTGAATAAATGCAGGTCTCTAATATGTGTACGAGTCCAATAGAATCTTAATCCAGTATGGTACTAAACAATGTATAATGACTTCTTTATAAAACACCACCATTTTTTAACATCTCAACAAAACTTTATTCTTGAGATCCAAACTGTCCATTTAAAGTCTTATAGTCCTAGTTTTGTTGTTGGCAATAATTTTGAATCATCCCTTCGGATCCAACACAAGCCAAGTGCACCTTTTTGTAAAGTGATCCTGTCAGTTGAAACTTTGCCATGGCACTTTGTTCCTGCCCAACGACGTCATTCTTCAGAATCTAAGAAGTGATATCTGTAAAAAGAGGAAAATGTAAATGTCACAGTAGTTATTGACAAAATGATGTAAAAAATTGTGAGAATAACCCATAAAAGCTTAACACAGCAATGTGCTTTCAAAATGTATATATTTGGGTCCGAGTGGGAGCATCTCTGAAATCGAGTCCGAGTGGGAGCATTTTCCATTTTTATAAAAAAAAACTTTAAAAAAACTGACTTTTAAATAATACTATTTGAAACTAATCTAGAAAAATGTGTGAACATGACTCGGTTTATATTCCAGTACGTTAAAAATAATTTTCAAGAAGGTTTTCAACCTTATTTCATATATTTTTCGAGAAAAGTCCGAGTGGGAGCATTCAGAGAAAAACATTTATCCCGTTTTCAGGCCTAAACTAGGCAATGAATCTATAAACTTTTTTTACAATTATCTCCAGTACTATAGCCATTCTTTGGTGCGCTCCATGATTTTTTGATACTCGTACGTTTTCTTATAATAAAATTGTATTTTACCTTCGAGTCGACGAAAAAATGGTCCAAGTTGGAGCATTCAGCAGGTGCGCGATGACGTAGTATCCTACCATTGACATACGTAACGTTTTATGTCTGTTTGTTTGGTGTGGATGCAGAAAATACGAGATGTTGATTATATCAGTTTATTTCTTAGACTGTCTTAACAATATATAGTCAGATGGTCAGTACCCTAAGTAGGCGGAGCCTATCAAACAAGTTTAAAGGTACTGCATGCAATATATATTTAATGTAGAATTAAATATAAAACACATTCCTTCACGCCGGGTGTTATTTTGAGGAGTGACGTGTACGCTAACGTTGCGGTAATGGTTACGTCGTTGACGTCGTTTACATGCAGCGCGTGTAGCTGGGTTTCATACTTTATGTATTTGTCTGATGTATTTACATTTTTTACACCAAACAAAAATAGTGTTTTATGATTCATTTGTATTTCTTTTATTTATATATAGAGCACCATTTATTTATTATTATTATATTTTTATTGGGGTCGGGGTGGGGCTTAATGGGCTTTTAAAGGAGTATATGCTAGGGTAAGATACAGGCACATAAAGAATACTGGAAACTTAATAATCGAAATGATTGTACCTCTAATCTTTCATAAAAAAAATTACCTCGTCAATGGTTATAATGGTTATTTATAGGGGCTTTTATTATAACATCATAAAGTGTCTTTCATAATAGCACCATGGAAAGGTTTGTTTTTAATACCTTTGCATGTAAAATTTTCTGGGAAATGCACAACGTGTATTTCAAAATGTGAGCATCATTTCATAATCAAAGAAAGACTATGTAGCATTATTAGTGAACATTAAGGGAAACAACTCTAGCTCAGTATCTATTATGAATTTGTTACAGTTGTAAAACCTGCATCATACAGGATTATATGTAAACGGTATATAAAAATTATATAGGGTCTATGCCTCTTAATTTAATTACAAAAGACATACCACAAGCCAAAAAAAGTAGCAGGCGAATGGGAAATTGACAAAGAGATTGCAGCGATATTTGCTTGTGAAATGATTTAGAGTTTACCCAACAACAACAACAACAACAACAAGGCGAACGTGCTATCTATTAATTTTCAAGATGGATTTCGCTAGAAAACATTTATCAAAGCATGGGTGGACTGACGGTATTTTATTTGTTTTAATTGGTTTTCTAACATTTTAAGATGGGTGTTATGACAATAAGTTGCTGATAAAAAATATTTACTTAAATGATTAGTATTCGGATAGGAGTGTTGTCTGAAATGATTTTACCACTCGTTGGCTTTAAAGAGTAGTTCCAGATCATATGAAATACTTTTTATAATTCATGCACCATTCAATTTGACACTCGGTGTTGGCATAAGTAGTTTTTTTTTGGCTAGAAATAAAAATTTAAAGGATAAATTGTGCATTTCATAACTGGCAAATGTTTATTAACCAGTGTTAACAATAAGGGAAATCAAATTATGAACAAACCATAATGTTAACTTAAGTAATATCAATAATTTCTGGTCACCACATAGTTGTGTCGTATCATGGGGATTTCAGGTCATTTCCATCCCTAGACAGAAATTACCCGAAACAAAATAATAGAACAGAACATATATTTTATTAATCCAAGGAAGTGGCTAGCCGTACGGGCCCGTATGGCCAGCAAAAATTTCTAGCTGTATGTGAGTCACGTACAACTAGCCTAGACTCACAGTATTGTCTAGCTGTACGTCACTTTTCAAAGTTATATTGAAGTCGAACATGCATATGTTATTTTGTGACTCATGATTATGATTTGTTGTTTTATTTGTATGACAGGTGAATTTTTGTTAATTAAGCACATGGATCGAATAAATAATGAATGGAGTGGAATAAATAAAAAGAACATTGAGAAAAAAAACAAACAAAAACGGTGAAAAGCAAAAATAATTGTATAATTTTCAAATACAGTAGATAAATATCGAACATAAAAGCACAATCAATTAATAAACCTTAATTAAAGCATACCCAGGGACTGACAATAAATTTTAAAATGCGTTTCATGGAACATGCAAACATTCCTTAATGATGAACAAACTTCTATACCGTCGGTAATTGACGCAATTATCAGATCCCAACAACAACAATTTTTCATTTTAAAGGTGTCGAAATTTAAACTTAATTAAACGAAAACGGATTATCATCAAAATCAAAATTTTGTAAACTATTTCAATTGATGTTATTTAACTGCGATCAAACGCTATTTTTTCTCAACGTCTTGAGATGACAAATATCGATATTCGTACTTTTTTTACTGTAGCCAACAAGGCGATTAATCTCTAAAAAGTAAACATACGAAGACAATATTATTGCTCTTTCTTGGTTAAAATCCTCGCTTAAAGTCATAAAATAACATATGCATTTTGGACTTCCATCTAATTTTGAAAATGACGTACGGCTAGCCAATACAGCAGTGTCTATTCTAGGATTTCAAAAATAGGGGTGATTTTCCCCCCTCTATTTCAAAAAAGGGGGTGATTTTTAAAATCAAGGGGTGCCAATATAAACTGCCAATGTTAAAGTGTCTGCATTAAGTTTAAACTGAGGTGTTCAACCGATGAAATAATTACAACTAAGGCAGCAGAAGTTGTCCCCCCTTAAATTTTAAACGAAAACAAATCATTATTGAACTGTCGCGATTGATTATAAAGGGATTGACAATACAAACAATTGACATATCTTTCACGTCTAGATCGTAGCCAAGATAGGAATTGCCTCATTTTTCTTGATTATTTACTACACTAAAATGGCGCCCAACTGTCAGACCTAGCACACTAGTTTCGGTCGGTACGGAACATTCCGTAAATTTCCGTCAACTCACGTAACCAGTACCATATGGTACTAAATTATTATAATTAGCTTACAGTTACTTCCCTTCAGTTTCCGGTGTAAATGTAAACAAAACGACCAAATATAATGCAGGATGGAAGTTTTACGATTTTATTAACTTTTTAGCTCGACTATTCGATAAGAATAAGTAGAGCTATTGCAGTCACCCGAGCGTCGGCGTCGGCGTAACCACTTATGTTAATGTTTTTGTAATAGTTCAAATATTTTCAAAGTCCATTGACTTATGGCTTTGAAACTTTGCACACTTGTTCACCATCATGACCCCAACCTGAAGACTGGAGGAGGGAACTGTATCAAGCATTTTGACAGAATTATGCCCCTTTTTCGACTTAGAATTTACGTTAAAGTTTTTGTAATAGTTCAAATATTTTCAAAGTCCATAGATATATGGCTTTGAAACTTGGCACACTTGTTCACCATCATGACCCCAACCTGTAGACATGAGGAGGTAACTCTATCAAGCATTTTGACAGAATTATGCCCCTTTTTTGACTTAGAATTTATGTTAAAGTTTCCGTTATACTTCAAATATTTTCAAAGTCCATAGACATATGGCTTTGAATCTTTGCACACTTGTTCACCATCATGACCCCAACCTGTAAACAGGAGGAGGTAACTGTATCAAGTAATTTTTTTACTATCAAGCACTCAGAATAGTCGAGCGTTGCTGTACTACCGACAGCTCTTGTTTTATAGATGCCCGATTTTCACGCACACGATTTTGAATTGTGCGCTATCTGTGAAATTCTAGCGTGAATCGCGCAATCGCGCGTCCTAGAATAGACACTGATACAGTGTGTCCTTGCTAGTCGTACGTGACTCACGCATGGCTAGAACTTTTGGCTAGCCGTACGGTCCTGTACCGTACAGCTAGCCACTTCCTTAAACCAAACACAGTACACAAATAGACATATTTTAATAGCAACTATTCTAAAAATCTTTTATTTGAATGATTTAAAAGTAAGACACAAAACCATACATGAGGCAGAGATTTATTTTCAACAACTGTAATATTTAACAGTAAGTGATGAGTTTGAACGATACAAACTAACAAAGCAACAGAGAACATATACTTCAACTTTAATGAGTTAAAACAAACAATGCTATGTAAACAGAATTTCCAAGTTTTCTCTAATTTTCTAGCTTCCATTAGCATTTAGCTATAAATAGTTAATTTCGGCTTAGGGCAGAGGTACCCATTCATACCTGAAATAATGCACGGAATGGCACTTGAGGTTTACCTCAACCACCGTCCAGTAAAGTAAAATTCAACCAACTCAAAAAATCCTGAAAGTTTGTTAAAATTGTGAGTGTTTGATACAGTTTTAAAACACAAGGAATTATTTTAATGTTATCCTTAACTAAAAATATTATTTGCTTTTAATAGAACACTGTTCATACATGAACACAGGGAATGGAAAGTATTATTTGCTTCAAAGCACATTTCGTACATGGACAGAGAGAAAACAGGACTGTACACAGTGATTAAAAACCGAAATGATCATTCGAATGATGACAGAAACAAAAGTAGGCACTATAAGTTTATAGCAAAAAATGCTTTCCAAAAGTAGGGTTTCTGTTACCATTAAACAGTCAATATTTGCAGATAATTTTCTTCAATGCTGCAACAACCCATAATGTAAAGTATGACATGCCAGTTAGGGAAATCTACAACAGTAATGCTTAATTATGAAAGCATAATATCTCCTGTTTAATGCAGCTTATGCTACATGTATTTTATATTGTGTTACAGGTCAAGGCCTAGGTAAAGATGAAGAGGGCATCACTGAGGCAATTAAAGTAAAAATTAAGCAGGACAAGAAAGGTGTAAGTACAAAGTTCAAGGAAAAATAAGCTTCTTGATGTTGAAAGATTAAAAATATACTGTCAAACTCCTGGACATGGCATTTAAAAACCTATTGATGACTCTTTTCTGGGTGTGCTAACAGTAAAAGAAAATGAAACCACAGTTTTCTGTCTTCCAAACCATTAGATTTATCAATAACTGCTCTAAGCCAGTAGGGGTTAAGTCTGATGACAAATGTGCACAGTGGCAATTTAGGGGATAATATTTTTTGGGAAAATTCTAGCTTTCTGAATTTATGGGAAATGGCTGGTATTCAACTGTAAAATACAATAAGGAAAAGATCACTGGCTATAGTTGAACATTAACTGTTTGTCTCAGCTATCTGTTCCCAGGCAACCATGAAATGGTGTAGTGCTTATCCATTTGGTTTAGTTCATGCAAAATGAACATGTAGTCAGTGCATTTCTAGAAGATACCTTGTAAAGAGCAGCACTTTACATGATTTTTTATAAAATATAAATTTTGTTTTAAACAGGTTGGACACAATCCAGGTGAAGAGTTTTCATTTCATTGGTGGGATCACGTCTTCAACAAGGCTGCCAGTAAAATAGAAGTCAGTAGAACAGAGGTATGGAAAATTTATTAATGATAATTCTAAAATGCAGACAATATAATTGATACTGAATGACGCTGAACAATATATTTGATTTATAACAGATAAAATTATTCTGGGAGCTTTTTTTAGGATCGTAACTGTATCAGAAAACATCCCACTGTGGCTAGGAACTAAGGATTCAAACTTGCAAGTTTAGAATCACTTAATTTATCTAGAGAGTCAAGCAGCTAATGTAGATGATTTTAAATAGCTTTCTTAACTTCATTTTTGTAAACAAAAACAATATTGTTTGTAACACCCTTGTGCCTGTAAGGTTGCCTTTAAGGGTTGAGGCATTAGAATTGCAGCTAGTGTTCTTGTGTGATCATAAAAGGGGACTTAATCGGTTGGAATTACTGGAGACTTTGCATCTCTCAGCACCAGCATGTGGGATGGTTTTGACCCCTGGTGTTGCTTTAAGTTTGTAACACCCAAGGTTAGCCAAAATTATCTTTCCTGTTTTAGTGCCTTATGACCTAAATTGTGTCAGTGTGTGGTAAAACCAAACAAAACAAAAAAATATTTGTTAAAGACACTCCGCTGAGGTCCAAAAGCCCATCAACATAAAATTTGAATTTCATACATAGATCAACTGGGGTACTTTAAGCAGAGCAATACTCAAAAGATAATTCAGAAAAATACTCAGAAAAAAATTTTAAAATCATATGATTGTGCTATTTTTAGCCTGATTTGAGTGAAAGCATTGTAACACTTTTCAATTGTTGGTCATTTTTCACAAACTAATTATTTTAGAAAAAAACAGAGTGAGTGAATGTTCTGAAAATGTGCACACAAGTTATTAGTCTAGACCTTCATCAAATGGAACATTCATTTCGAAAATATACTTTCCAGTCCAGCCACATCAAAAAACTTCAATGGAGTCCCTTTAATGACACGTGTTCAGTTTAGGTTATATTGCTAAATAATAAATGAAAAGAATAAAAAAATGTGTGTGATAAGTAAAAAGGAAATAGAAGGCTGTAAATATGCTATTCATAAACTCATATAGGTGGATTAGGCAGTTATGGGGATAAATTTTGGAAATTTATTTGCATTATTGTAGAAGATGATACCTTAGTTACATTGATTGGATGAAAGTCATTTTCCATACATAAGTTTTTTTTTTATTTCAGGATGGTGTACAGATAAAGAACAGTGGTGACACAAAAGTATCAAAGACTAAAAATTCTAAAACATATGACAATAAGGCCATGCTGTACGGCCAGTTTGTAAAGGTAAACTATACGTCAAATTAAAGTAGCTTGACTGGGGTCTAAAAACCTTAACATTTGAATTTAAAAACCTTACATAGATCAAATGGAAAAAAATTATGAATTAATGTTAATAATGAAATATACTAGGAATGAAATTGAAAATCAATATTTAATGGTTTTTTTTATCCAGAAAAGTATTTGTTTAGAAAATAATTAAACAAATCTAATCTTAATTTTAAAGCTGCATGCCTCCAGATGAGCCAAAATATTTAAGAAAATCAATATTGAGAAAAATGTAGTAAAATTTTAAGAAAGGTAAAAGTATTGAAGATCCAAGTTATATTTTACATTTTATGTACGGTTTGAGACTGATTTTGTTATATTTTACTATTCTACTGCCTTACAATGTACTAACGCAGTAAGGGCTGTTTTTGCATATATGGACCACTTTTTGGTAATTTTCTTGGATTGTAAGTGCCGATTGTAATATGTTAATTACTTTACTTTGTTCATCTCGCAATATTTTACGTTTAAATACATTTCCAAAATTTTCATGAAATAAACATGAATCTGGAGGCATGCTGCTTTAATTAACTTTTATTTTTTTTATCTTAAATTTTTTATGACTGTTTATAGATAAATTAGGTTTACTTGGTAACTTAATTTTGTTTTGAGATTCAGAATAGTTCAATTAAATGTGGAATTTAAATTTTGAATCATTTACAGGGTTCAACATTATCAAATGGTTTAGAGACAAGGGAAGCAACTCTTGAGGAGAGTAGTGATGAAGAGCCAGGGGAGGAAACCCAATGTCTCATGTAAGTTTTTTGTTTGGGGTCAGGTTTTAGTACATAATATAAAGCTAATTGTGAATTTTTGATACCCCTGGATTGATAGTTTGGTTGATTAAATTATTTCCAAGTGTTTCCTTTCTGTTCATCGATAGTCAAGTGCAGGCCACACATGCCATAAAAGACTGCTTTTTTGACCCTTTTAAAAGTGGAGAGAGCGTCATTTAGATAAGCAAGCAAATTGTTTCTAAAATTTATAGGTATCATACAACATAGACTATTAATAGTTGAAATTTTATTTTAAGTAATATCATGTTAATGTTTTATTTATTAAGATTGTTAGTATCAACTTTTATTTTACAGGCCAGACCAGGCAGAAGTTGTTTTTAAAATGTGTGGGGGCAGAACTGCTCACAAGTGAGTTTTTTTCCCTTTGTTTAAATTTTCTTGTTGCCTGCTGCAGTGTAGTTCTTGTGCATATTCATTGGTTTTTGGTTAAATGATTTTTGAGTATAAACCTTTAAATAAAAAAGCATTTTGACCTGTTGAAGATTTTTGTGTCTCCTGCTACTCACTCAGTAGCTGCAACATGCAACAAAGCAGCCACAACATAAAACAAAGAAAGTTGTCAATCAACTCTCAATACAACTGCTTATTTCAATGGCGACATGTGTGATGTCACTGATTGCTCTTGTTTGAAATGATGGTGGTAGCTATGTTCTTTAAATGTTTGAATCAGGTGCACATGTGATTTCTTGATAAACATTGTCACCTGAACAAATGAATGTAAAAATGACAGAAAAACCCATTATGAGTTTAGTGAAATAAATTTATTTCCATTGTTGGCTTTAAACTGTACCAAACGAAATAGCTTAATTGGATATGTCCGTTTTTCAATCTAGACAAAACCATTCATCAGTTGTTAGGAAAATTAAAAAAAAAGTACTTATCAAACAATGATCAGATGTCAAGGAAGTGCTGGCTGATCTTGGACTGGTTGTATTGCTAGATTCAGCTGCCCTCCGCAGAATTGGGGTTTATTTTACAGTGTGGTCTGAAATAGTCACTTTTTACCTCAAAGTTGATATGCTACTACAAAGCTGGGAAAGGCATAAACATCATCATTGATGGTCTGAATGTGTATATGTATAATTATTTGTGGTTTATAAAGGCATGTTTTACTTATGCCAATAAAATGTGAACTGTAATACATGTAATACATGTTAGTGAGGCATATACATTTTGTAGTTAAAATATACATTTTTATGCCCCAACAGAGTGGGAGCATATAGCGTTGCACTTGTCCGTCCGAGTGTCCGTACGTCTGTCCGTCCGTCCGTCTGTCCGTACGTCCCGAAATCTTGTGAACTCCTCATAAACCGGATGGCAGATTTTGCTTAAACTTCCAGGGATGAACAACCTTAATGTGTAGATGTTAGTAAAGGAAGGAATTTTTGCTGCGACCAAATTTAACAGAATTATGGCCCTTTGTTGATTTTTTCACTATATACTATGTAGAAATTTTGTGAATGCAACTCCTTTTAAACCGGATGGCAGATTTTGCTTAAACTTCCAGGGATGAACAACCTTAATGTGTAGATGGTAGTAAAGGAAGGAATTTTTGCTGCGACCAAATTTAACAGAATTATGGCCCTTTGTTGATTTTTTCACTATATACTATGTAGAAATTTTGTGAACGCAACTCCTCTTAAACCGGATGGCAGATTTTGCTTAAACTTCCAGGGATGAACAACCTTAATGTGTAGATGGTAAAGGAAGGAATTTTTTGGTGCGACCAAATTTAACAGAATTATGGCCCTTTGTTGATTTTTAGTTTTCAACTTGTGGCACATGTAGTCCAAAAAATATTTGACCTAGAGTCATAAGATTGACAGAACAGTGGCGTGTGGGGGCATCCGTGTCCTATGGACACATTTCTAGTTAGCCTTGGTGTTGATGTTACACTTCAATTAGTTTTTCGTTTCAAGTTGGTATCTGTAAAACTACAGATGGAAAATGGAATGAAACTCCACACATTTATTTGAGAGCTTAATTGGAGGTCGTTGTCCTAGGCCTATAACTCTTAACATGGATTTTGACACAATTTGGCCATATTTTAACAAAATTATACATTAGCCAGACTCTAGTTTAACTATCAAACACCGAGAATAGTCAGGCACACTGTCCTTCCGTAAGCTCTTGTATATATATATATTGAAAACATATTTTTAAATATACCATTATTTTGCATTATAAAATTAATGAATTGCAGGGGTGCAAGACATGGATTAAAGGCAAATGGGAAATTGTTGAGGATTCAGGAGCAAGAAAAACTATTATTAGAACAGTACAATTCAAAATCAGCCAATCAGAAAGATCGTGACATGTCATGTGATCATGTAAATGGACAAGTGAATGACAGTAATGAAATGAATGAGAACAAAGTTGAAAATGAAACCTTGAAGAAAAGTAAGAAAAAGAAAAGAAAGCATCAGGATAATGATGTAAATACAGATGCAATAAATGATGGTACTGTAGATGAAATAGAAAACGAAAGTAAAATTATAGAATCTAAAAGCACTGAAGACTGTAGTAAGCCAAAGAAAAAGAAAAAAAGTAAGAAAAGTAAAAAGCGGACGGACATGGAGAATGTTGAGATACAAGATGATGTTATAGATGGTAATAATGATGACATACCTGATTCAGGTGTAGGTGATGATATAGATAGTAAAGCTGTGGAAAATGACTTGGCAGATAATAATGATGGTAGATCTATTAAGAAATTAAAGAAAAAGAAGAAGAAAAAACAAAGAGATATATGATTGAATAGAAAACAGGAATGAGAATAGCAAAATTTTTATATACATGTATTTAATTGAAAATGATTATTTATATTTCAAAGTTCACAATGTGGAAAATGATTATTTAAATTTCAAAAATAAAGTGTGAAGTGAATTTTCGAAATCTGATTCAACTGATGTTTAAGAAATGACAGTAAAAACTTGTAACTGGTGTTATTGTAGCATTTTATAGGTGCTTTGTGATGTGTTAGTTGCAAAATTTTATGGAACAGTATGTTTAATATGAATTATATGATTATTTCATTTTATGAAATTTTAGATAAATTTTAAATGTTAGGAAGTTATATATAGATCTACATGTACAATTAAATTATTGTATAACATTATAATTTTAAAAGTTTTTTTTTTTGATTCCTCAGATTTCAGTTCAGCAGTGGTCAAACGTCAAGTTGAGCTTGAGCTATTTATGAAATGAAATGTTTTTAGCTCGACTTTTTTTTTTTTGAAAAAAAAAAGTGAAGGTATTGTTATAGTCGCGGCGGCGTTGCCGTTGACGTCCGCAAACTTGTACCTGGATCATAACTTTTTATATGCCCGAAAGAATTTCGGGCATATTATGTTATACCCCCTGGCGTCCGTCCGTCCGTCTGTCCGTCCGTCCGTTAGCAATTTGGTTTCCGGAGCATAACTTAAGTTCCATTTGGCCCACAGTGTTCAAACTTCATAGGATGATTGTCCATATTGGGTAGAAGACCCCTATTGATTTTGGGGTCACAAGGTCAAAGGTCAAGGTCACTATGACCTTAAAACTGAAAACAGTTTCCGGAGCATAACTTAAGTTCAATTTGGCCCACAGTGTTCAAACTTCATAGGATGATTGTCCATATTGGGTAGAAGACCCCTATTGATTTTGGGGTTGCAAGGTCAAAGGTCAAGGTCACTATGACCTTTAAACTGAAAACAGTTGTTGGAACATAACTTAAGTTCCATTTGGCCCACAGTGTTCAAACTTCATAGTATGATTGTCCATATTGGGTAGAAGACCCCTATTGAATTTGAGGTCAAAGGTCAAGGTCACTATTACCTTTAAACTGAAAACAGTTTCCGGAGTATAACTTTAGTTCCATTTGGCCCACAGTGTTCAAACTTCATAAGATTATTGTCCATATTGGGTAAAAGACCCCTATTGATTTTGGGGTCACAAGGTCAAAGGTCAAGGTCACTATGACCTTAAAACTGAAAACAGTTTCCGGGGCATAACTTAAGTTCCATTTGGCCCACAGTGTTCAAACTTCATAGGATGATTGTCAATATTAGGTTGAAGACCCCTATTGATTTTGGGGTCACAAGGTCAAAGGTCAAGGTCACTATTACTTAGAAATTGAAAACAGTTTCTTTAGCATAAATTTAGTTCAATTTGGCCCACAATATTCAAACTTCATAGGATGATTGTCCATATTAGGTAGAAGACTCCTATTGATATTGGGGTCACAAGGTCAAAGTCACTATTAACTTAAAATTGAAAACAGTTGTTGGAACATAACTTAAGTTTCATTTGGCCCACAGTGTTTAAACTTCATAGTATGATTGTCCATATTGGGTTGAAGACCCCTATTGATTTTGGGGTCACAAGGTCAAAGGTCAAGGTCACTATTACCTTAGAACTGAAAACAGTTTCCGGGGCATAACTTAAGTTCCATTTGGACCTAAATATTGAAACTTCAAAGGAGGATTGTTTTGTGAAGAAGGTAATACTTTATTTGATTCCCATGTCTTACAAATGCTTCATCTTTACTAAAAAAAAAAAAACACTTTCGGGCATATAATGCTCCGCCTAGCGGTGCTCTTGTTTATTTCTTGGTGTATTGTGTTCATACTTGGCCTCAACAACCCTTGGGACAAGACTTTTCAGTAGACCACACTAACCTTGACCTTCATCCATAAATGACCTTGACCTTCAAGGTTAAAAGTCCAAATTTTCATGCTGTTATTGGCTGTAACTTTGTTATTTTTGAATTGATTGTCTTCAAACTTGAACATAATAATCTTCAAGGAAAACCCTTAAAAATAACCAGACAGACCTTGACCTTCACTCATTAATGACCTTGACTTTGAAGTTCAAATTATTGAAATTTTCATTGTTTTGGCTGTAACTGGCTGTAACTTTGCTATTATTGAAGGGATCAACTTCATCTTATAACAGAACATACTTAAGGACAAGACCTTGTTGTGACTTTACCACATGACTAGACCACATGGCTTGACCACGTGACTCCACCACGTGACTCCACCGCGTGACCCCACCAAGTGACACCACCACGTGACTCCACCACATGACTTTACCACGTGACTTCACCACGTGACTCCACCACCTGACTCCACCACATGACTCCACCACGTGACTCCACCACGTGACTCCACCATGTGACACCACCACGTGACTCCACCACTTGAACTCCAACACTTGACTCCACCACGTGACTCCACCACGTGACTCCACCATGTGACTTTACCACGTGACTTCACCAGGTGATTCCACCACGTGACTCCACAACGTGACTCCACCACGTGACTTCACCACGTGACTCCACCACGTGACTTTACCACATGTCTCCACCACGTGACACCACCATGTGACTTTACCACATGACTCCACCACATGACTCCACCACATGACTTTACCACATGACTCCACCACGTGACTCCACCACATGACTCCACCACGTGACTTTACCACGTGACTAGCATGTGACTCTACCACGTGTCTCTACTGAGTGTCTCCAGCACGTGACTTTACAATGTGACTCCACCACGTGACTTTAACATGTGACTCCACCACGTGACTTTACCACGTGACTCTACCACGTTACTTCACCACATGACTTTACCACGTGACTCCACCACGTGACTACCACATGTATCTATTTATAGAATTTTCTATTTATAGAATTGTGTGTTTCTATTTATAGAATTGCATGTTTCTATTTATAGAATTGCATGTTTCTATTTATAGAATTTTCTATTTATAGAATTGAGTGTTTCTATTTATATATATATATATATATATATAATTTAGTATATTTATATACAAAATATATAGACAAAACTTATGTGACAAGACAGACCGATTAATTTTATAAAAAGGAAACGTTAAGATTTTGTACAAACATTTCTTTGTTTGATTTTAGAGAAAGTAAAAAGTAGAGCGTTGCCCCCGCCCGGCGGTGGCTCTTGTTGTAGTCAATATTTCTTTGAAAAGTAAATAAAACCTGCTTTTCCCAGGAATTTTATAACACTGTTATATGAAATTATTAGCAGAAAAGTTGAATACATGTATCTCAGAAATTATTTTGTCAGATGCTTTCATGTATCTTGGAAATATTCTTTGCGTGATGATGATTAATTCAAGTTTATGGTACAATTGCATAACCTTTAGTTTATATCCAATTACAAACATGTCCCCTCTACAGAAAAATCACCCTGCCTGCCTGTTAATAGTTTGGAATGTGTCAGATGTTGGAAATGATACTTGATATTTTAGACACACTAGCTGACAAATATATATGGCTATTTTGACTGTAAGATTTAATGCTAAAAGTTATAGTAACTTGTACTCCCAAGTTTTTAAGACAGAAAATTTGGTTTAAAGAAACTCTCTAATAGTTTCACTCATGTTTTTAGAAAATGTACTTTCCGTTTGAATTTATCTTGCAAACATTTTGTCAAAGTTATATCCCTGTTTAAATTCAGAAATTTGGTTTAGCATCAAAAAGTAAGTAAGGTTATTTGGAAACTAGAAAGCTTTAAAGATACACAATGCTCAAATTTGACACTGTCATATATTGATAATTGCTATACAGTTTTTTTTTTCCAATATAAATAAAACACGTTTTGACTTCACAAGACTTAGATATGTTATGTTTAAAATTTTACACTCTGTAGATGGTTACAATATGAATATATTGTGTCATTAAAAAAACTGGCATTTTTAAGAAAGGACCAATTTTACTTGTCTGGTAATAGGAAACGCAGCTTCTCTTACATAGTTTATTCTTTTATTGAAATTAGACATATTCAGTAAGAATTCACCCATTTCTGTGAATAAAATGGTATACTCAAGGGTGAGCATAGTAAATTTTTTAATTTGTTAAATATTTTATTTTTCTTCTTTGTGTCCTGCTGTTGTTTCAAGGGGATTGCTGAATAATTTGCCTTTCACATCTGGATATTAATATCTTCTATATTGAAGATTCTTTAGAAAAATAAAAAAATTGTTTCAAATTCTAACCACAATTTCATCATCAGCAGGACACCTTGTTGGAGCTCAAGGTTAAGGTCCACACTTGAAATACCTTGGACAATACCATGCCAAGTTAGTAATGAAACTTGTATCAGTTAAATGTTAACAACATTGATTCATAGCCTGCTAAATTTGCGGAATGAATTTTGCCATGGTTTGAATTTTGAACAGTCCATTCAAAATTTGAAATATTTCAATATGAGAATGCAAACAATCGAGCTAGCAGTACCACCAGTACAGAGCCTGATATATGTAGATACTATTGCCATTTAAGATCGCTTTGATATGATATGTCTTTAAGGAAATAAGTAAAAGTCTAATATAATAATTTGTTCATTTATTTTATTATTTTAATTATTAAAAAGCCATCAATATTTTCTCTGTAAATATTTTATAGAAATTAGATGAAAATATATCAATGGTACATATATACTTCAAAATATATATGTGGTACGTAACCTCAAAAAATGGTACGCAAACTCCTGGTACGTTTCCTTCATGGTACGTAACCTCCAGTAATCTCACCAGTCGTGAACCTAAAGTTTCCAGTCATGCAAACACAGATTAGCTTTATCTTCAAGTGCCGTGATGTGTATTGTAAGGGTTTTATGATTGGATAAGTTTTTACCTTATTATGGCCCTTTGTTTTGCCATAAGATTTAATTATAAGTGTAATATATCCTATTAATCACAACAAACTTTTTTTAGTTATAAAACAGAAACTATCTAGGTTGTTGCATGCCTGCCAGCTCATCTGCCTGTTTTTGGGTCCTGTAGAGTCAAGGTCATTGTTGTTAAAAATAGAAAATCTGTTTTCCAGTCAGGTCACTGTTACTAAAAATAGAAAATAGGTTTCCGGTCAATAACTTGTTTGGAATAAGATATTTTTATGAAATTTGGTATAAAGCAAGTTTTTATGAAGACCTCATTTGGGATGGCTTTTTGGCCTCCTAGGGTCAAGGTTACAGTTACTAAAAATAGAAAATTCATTATTCATGATTTACATTGCACATAGTTACATTGTTTGTTGCTTGTATTTGTATTTCAGCTACTACATATTTATCTACAATGGCGATAATTGAAAACCTG